AATCAGCCAAATATCTTGTATTTGAGGCTAAAACATTCCTTTATAAATTCTGACTTTAAATGTGCCCTCACGAGACAGTTAAACTATTGTACCCTGCTGCTAACTAGAGGATAATGTGCCCTCACGAGACAGTTAAACTATTGTACCCTGCTGCTAACTAGAGGATAATGTGCCCTCACGAGACAGTTAAACTATTGTACCCTGCTGCTAACTAGAGGATAATGTGCTTTCACGAGACAGTTAAACTATTGTACCCTGCTGCTAACTAGAGAATAATGTGCCCTCACGAGACAGTTAAACTATTTTACCTTGCTGCCAACTAGAGGATAATGTGCCTTCACGAGACAGTAAAACAATTGTACCCTGCTGCCAAGTGCCAACTAAGGGATAAACGTTTAATAAAGTATCCAGAAACTAGCAGATGTGGGTTGAATAAAGATCGCAGATTTTCGGGTTATCATTCAAAATTTATAATTTAAAATTAATTTATACTTTTTTAAGTCGGGTTTCTTCATTTCTGATCGTCCATAAACCTTATCTGAGCTGGGAACTCAAAATCCCGATCACTTGATCTCGATATCGAATGAGTGCACTTTTAGTTTAATAATCGATACTAAATCTTTTAATTTCTGTTATTCTCCCCCCATAATCAACGCTCCCTCCCACCACCCCTGACTGGGTACGATAAGCCGGAAATCGAATAAAGATTAAATTAATCTGCAGATTAACAAAAGATCGAGATCAAGCATTTCATGATCTCGATATTCACAATACAATAGTGTCCAGTTCTGAAGTCATGTGAGGTCCGACAAAAAAAACTTTAAAACCCTTTACAAGTACAGATTTTTGTATTAATTAGTAAAGATAGACTTATCACGCACCTCTGCCCCTTTAGTAAAAGTAAATTCATCCCATGTGAAGCCTAAAGTCTGACCGCGTCAAACTTGTTGCACCGGCTAGTCCTGTCCATAGAGCTATGTACAGTACAAGCTGGGACCGGAAAGGTTGACCCGGCTCATAAATTCAAATGTACTAAGGCTGTCCGTGTTATGAACAAAATCAAATGCTTAGTCAAAATTTAAAACTTTTAGGCGTCCTATGAGCTAAAACTATTTTGAAATTAAAATTTCAAAAGTTTTAGAATTCCTGAGTTTGATCAGGGTTGACAAACTTTTATAATATCGAAACATCTTCAGACTCAAGGATAACAGAAAATCAGCCTAAAGACAACTATAAGCAGAAAAAAATAAAAAAAACAGAAGTACAAAATGTTCTTTAATTGCTTTTTAAAAAATTTAAAACTTTGTTGGAGTACACAAAAAAGTTACATTTTTTTTGGTCTCATTTAATTTGTTAAGCAAGAAAAAAGACCTTGAAGATCTTGAATAGATCTACACAAAAAAAAACCTAAATCAGAATTTGTTTAAAGTTGTCAAAAAAAAAATACTCGATTTAAAAAAATTGTATCAAAGAAACCTTTAGAACCGGTGAGGGATGGATTTGAAAATTTTTATCAAAAAGTGTATTAAAGTTTCACCCTTAGCCAACGAGATAATAATCTGATCTAATGTTTATGTTGAAAAATTTCCAAGTTTGCTGAACATTAATATATTCAATGGATTTCAAAAGAGTTTGTTTTCCCCCTTTATGTTATAAACATCAACCTGAAGTAGAAGTTTCTTCAAAATTTTAACCTTTAAACTTGTTATCTCAATAACCTTGTAGTGTTTCTTTTTTCCGTTTTAGAGTTAAAATTACAATTTGGTTATCTTCGGATCATTAAATATTCCAATTCTTTGAGCGGAAAGGTTGGTTAAATTGAGTTTAAAATATATACAAGACACAATCCTTTTTTTAAAAAAGGAATTGAGTCTTTGGAATTTTCTGATCCATATATTTTTGTAACCTTAACGTATAAACCTTTGATATTTCAAACTTAGATTATTTGATTTAATACAATTTATAGTTTAAAATGTCTAAGGTCTACGACATTGGATTGTAAAGATATAGGGAAGAGAAAATCTGAGTTTGGGCACAAAGACTCAATTCCTTTTTATTTTCTAATTATTCAAGCATCTAGAGTGTTTTTAAAGTCGTATAAAATGCCCTTTTTTACTACGAAATGTGCACCCTTCAGAAGGTGGCTGGTGAGGATAGTAAAGGTCGGAGAGTATTATGAATGCCCGAAACAAGCTTAAAACAATTGATTTAATGAGAATCGATACCAATATTGTATACCATGTGCATAGAATAAAAACAGAGTGGGGATGGGGTCTCTTTAAAAGCTGAAGGTAGTTGGGGTAGTATGGGTAGTTGCCATTCAGATTTAGCTTCAAGGGTGGGGGTGGGGTCCCTCTAATAACAGACAGTAGTTGGGGTAGTTAGGGTAGTTAAACCTACCCTTACTACCCCAACTACCGTCTGTTATTAGAGGGACCCCATCCCCCCTCTTTGATTATTCTATACGCATGGTATACAATATGGATATTGATTCTTACTAAATCAATTGTTTTAAGCTTGTTTCTGGCATTCATAATATTCTCCTACCTTTACTAACCTCACCACCCACCCTCTGAAGGGTGCACATTTCGTAGTCGAAAAAAGGCAATCTATACACACAGGTTAAAGTCCTCCCTAAGATACCCCCCTTAAGAGTTAATCTAATTTTACAATTTCTTAATTTCAACAAAAATTGTGAGAATCAGAAAGTTTCCGGATGATAATTTGATTTCATCGTTTAAACCAAATAAAGGTTCAATTTATCAAATTGAGATTAATTTTCAAAATCTGAGAGCAGTTTTCGTATAATCTACATCAAATTGTGAATAATGAAAACAGATTTTTTTGGGGCTAAGCCACAAAATCAAATTTTTTTCAATGTAGGAGTGGCCTTTGGTATTTTACTTTGAATTCTTTTAGATCAAATAATTTTAGTTTAGAATATCAAAGGTTTAAACCTTCAGGTTGTAGAGATATAGGGATAAGAAAATAAGAATATGCTCCAAAAAATCGATTCCTTTGAAAACATTTTGTAGAGAAACGGTATAATTTGTATGCTTTAAATAAGTCTTTTCTGCAAATATATCAAAAATGATGTCTTGAGTAATGGTTTAAATAAAGAGCTATTTAGATTACATAAACTGATATTTATATTAAATCTGAATCCCTGAAACTTGAAGGTTTTTCCTGGTCTGGTCTGGGTTTGATTTTTCCTGATTTGGTTTCTCTTGCTCTGTTCTTGGTCCGGTGTACTCCGTAGTCTCCGACCAACTAACCAGTGGAACCTACCTCGCGCTATCTTCTTACCATTCTCTTCTATCTCTGTACCTTAGAATACCAAGATATATACACATCATGGACCACAGCTATGACCTGGGTTTCAAGAATGGAGTTTCTGGAGGTTTTCACAGATTCTGAAAGTAGAGTATATGTCTAGAACTAGCATGTAGTTTTGCTATATTGTTTAGACTTAAAAAAGGCATTTGACTCAGACGAGTTTTCATAAGATTATGAGGAGGACCTAGATATATCTTTAAAGTTTTTTTGCCTAATTATTATCATCATGTAGAATCAATGTAGAATCATCATATTGGAAGAAAATACATAAAAACAATTATTTAAAGAAAATAAAATCTATGCTTAACATCAAGCATATTTCTTTCTATCCGTCTCTTCCGCAAAATGAAAGGGGGTATAGGCTTACGGCGAAAAATTCAGATATTGCAAACAATAGTCATCGATTTTTTTTCAATGCATTCGCATTAAGTTAATATTTGATAATATTTTTGATTATGTTTTTTAAAATAATATTTCAATGGCACTGCACTTTCGAACATTCCTGGAAATAAATAAAATGTCCTCTTCATTATCAAAAATCCTCGAAACAGGAATAAATTTTTTCAAAAGGAACTATCAGACCATAAAAAATAAAAATATTTTGAAATATAAACTTTAGACGAATGCGTCGAAAAGTAATCGATGATTATTGTTTGTAATATCTGAATAATTTGTTTTGAATTAAATTGAGCATTTTACGATCCGAGTTGAATGTTGCAACTTTCTGAATATGTATTGACGCTACGTTCCACAGTATGATTTTCTCCTTCTAGACGCAACAGATAGAAGTAAGATTTGTAGCGATCAAAAGCGCTTATTTTTCGCCGTAAGCCTATACCCCCTTTCATTTTTCTTGAAAACTCCCTTTAAGCTTGTCATATAATTCCTTGTATTGTGTAAGAACATTCCTTAGGTTCCAAACCGAACCTTGAAGCATGTCGGTCAAGGGGTTTTGAGTTAAAAACGAACAAAAAAAGAGATATTACATCTTTATATGTATAGATAGATTTGTAAGGAAATTGTAGGAATCTCTAGTATCTGTGTGAGTTGTTTATATTACATATTTCTAAATATCGATATGTTTAATCTTTTTATTTGTTTGTTCTGTCTATCAATATAATATAGCTTAGTCTGTTCTATTCGAATATTTTAATCTTTTTTATCCTCGGGTTTTCTACTCTTTATAACCCTGTTTTTCCTTTTTTTCTTTGCTGTATTTAATTTTAATGAAATATATGTTTCAAATGTGATGTCTGTGGAGATAACACTTATTTTGGCGTTAATCGTTTATTTTCGACATAATTTTATTTATCTTTTATTGGAAAATTATTGATTTTTTCAGGAAATATTTTCTTTAAAAAATTAACTCCCTTCAGTTTTNAAACACTTTTACAAATATCTAATGTCGATATATGATTATTTTAAAGAACAGAAAGTGACGTTATGAGTGTCCTCCAGGAGTATAATCTGACCCCGAAGCTGGTAGAAAGCTGATCACGTGACATCTCTCCGGTCAACTTATTCTTCACACAACACAATTCTAAACCTGTTTACCTAACTACAATTGTTATTATGTTGTGCAAATAACGTTTTTCAGATTTTGCTAGATTTTCCCCTTCTTGAAAATTCTTTTGTGACGAACGCTTTATTTTTACTTTCCTTATAACTTGAACAGTGAATAAACTTCAGATACATGGTAAACAGAAATTGTATTTTTATATATCCTGGAATCGTATAAAATACTTTTATTCGATTAGTTTTAGTTTTCATGGAATGATATTGCACAGTGGTATATTTTCAAATATCATGTTCAGTGTATAGATACATATATTTGCAATATTTAGAATAAAAGTCAGTGTATGATATTTATATTCTTGCTGTTGAAAATATCATAAACTAAAAGAAGATTATTCTCTCCGTGAAAACATCATGCCGTTGGTTCTTGAGAGCCCCAAAACCTGTAAGGTAAGGCCTAAAAAATATGGCTTTAGAAGACGACTGTTAAACTTAGTTTTAGTTCAATTGAATTTTAACAATTTCACAGTGTACATTACAGACCTATTTCAATCAATATGTTTATTTTAAAGATACCATTTGTTTTATATAAAACCATTAAATACAAATAAGAATGCTTTAAATTATAAAGGAATTGAGTCTTTGTCACAAAATATTTCAAACAACAAAGTCTGATAGACCAAATAATTTAAGTTTGAAAATAAAAAACACAAGTTTACACTATCAGTTTGCATGAATATAGAGATTGAAAAATGTTTCCACACAAAAAAATCAAACTCTGATCTTTGCAACCCAATCTCGTAAACCTTTCATATTTCAAACTTATATTCTGTCAGATCAAAAAATCGAAGTTTGAAATTTCGAAGGTTTGCAACATTAGGTTGAAAAGATAATTTCAGTTTGTGGCAACGACTCAATACCATAGTTTGCCGTTCATCAGTATAGTTTACATTTTAGTCAACATATTGAAATAACGAAAAAAATTTTAATTATTGAAAATTCAAAACAATAATTTCGATGCATGTATTTTTTTCTGTAATGAAGTTCAAGCTCGTTCAGTTTTTTAAAATCTAGTTTTCGTTGAAATCTGACATTGTAAACTTCTTGATAAACAGAGTTTCGTTGAAAAAGTTTAAATTAACATTTTTTTAAATTTTGAATGTAAAATTTCAAGTTCTGACTTGTCCTTTATTTTAGGAGTTTGAGAGCAGAGTGGGTCAAAATTGGGCTCGTGAAATAATTGTGGATTATTATACAAGGTAATTATAAACCTTTCATCAGGTTCGAAGGATGTTTTAGCTATCTCAGGCAGTAAAAAAATGGGGGTTAATGTATGCTCTAGTACTAACCCTCAGTTTTCAACACAACGGACAGGAACCTTCCTTGAATATACTGTTTAGCTATTGTATTTAAGGGTTAGTTACCAATTTTTAATGATAAGCTATCCTAGCACAGGAAAGTTTTCTTAGAAAAGCAGGTCAGAGATCAAAACTGGTGTCACTGGATCAAGCATTTTTCGTAACTTTTGTCGTTTTAAGGATTAGATTAATTCCTTTTATATATCCGGTAGTCGGAACCTAGCATGGATAACTTTATCCCGTAGTCGGAACCTAGCAGGGATAACTATATCCGGTAGTCGGAACCTAGCAGGGATAACTATATCCCGAAGTCGGAACCTTACAGGGATAACTATATCCAGTAGTCGGAACCAATAGCATGGCTAACTATATCCTATAGTCGGAACCAATAGCATGGATAACTATATCCTGTAGTCGGAACCTAGCAGGGATAACTATATCCTGTATCCTAGCAGGGATAACTATATCCCGTAGCTGTAGTCGGAACCTAGCAGGGATAACTATATCCCAAAGTCGGAACCTAGCATGGCTAACTATATCCCGTAGTCTGAACCTAGCATGGCTAACTATATCCCATAGTCGGAACCTAGCAGGGATAACTTTATCCTGTAGTCGGAAGCTAGCAGGGATAACTATATCCCGTAGTCGGAACCTAGCAGGGATAACTATATCCCGTAGTCGGAATCTAGCAGGGATAACTATATCCCGTAGTCGGAACCTAGCATGGATAACTATATCCCGTAGTCGGAATCTAGCAGGGATAACTGTAAATTGAGGGATCAAGCACTTTATCCTTCAAGGTTAAAAGTTGACACAATTTTCTCAGAAACACAAAGGTTATTCTTTGTAGAGAAAACTTTAACTTTAGTTTCTCTCGTTTCTTCTCTTAAAATACTAGCTGATGTGCCAGGTGTTGCCAGGTTACTCATAGTTACTCCCACCTTTAAAATTCAGTGATGGTGATGGACCAAACCTCTGTAGAGTAAAAAAGTAGATGTTAGTTCCACATTTATTAACGATATAATAACCATCAAAATCGATAAAAAAAAATAAAAAAATTTAAAAATCACAAGAATATAAACAAACAAAAAGATTATTCAAAATAAAAATTTGGGCTGTCAAATGGACATAAGGGAAAAGAACTCAGATTATTACTCCCACCGTTTACCCACTCTTGGTCTTAAATCATGATTTTAAATTAAGTGTCCATCATTGCATTTGGAATTTTAAAAATTCAAAATGTCATCCCCTGAGGTACCCATGGGTTCCATAAAAAATGTTTAATCAATTTGGTCCAGCGCCGTTTGGCCTGCTTTATTTGCATCACATTTTGGTGATTTATAATGCTTGAATCACGATGCATTAAACAGTTGTAAGAGACCTTTTTTGTCCAAAATTTCTTATGAATAGTTGATACCTCCAACTCAATTTGAAATATCCGAACGATCCCTTTGAATAAACTGAGCAGAAAACTTTCTGTAAGTTTTTCTAATCTCGACCTTGAGAGAAAAAACTAACATTACTAATAAACATGGACAATCCTTTGCAAGCATTTCACTTATTGGATTGCCAATAGGATGCACAATAAAAGGGTTTGAGGTGGGGTTTACAGCGAACGAAAACTTTCGCTAAAAATGCGAAATTTTTCGTATATGTATTTCAGAAACTTTTTTTTCGCGAAAATGAATTTTGCGAAAGGAAGCGAAAACGTTGCGGAGTGTTGTGAAAACAAAATTCTACGAACGGAATGCGAAAAAAAAGCGAAAATTTTCGGCAAACGTCGATTTCCCCATTTTGCTGGAAACCCCTAGTTTGAGGTTGCAAAGATCCAGTTTAGAAAAACTTCTGATTTATGGTATATCCCATTGGCCAATAAACTAAGTGTATATATATGGCGTGTATAAGATATTGCAGATATATGGCGTGTATAAGATATTGTAGATGACATTTCAAATAAATCAAGAAGAAACTTTCCAAGAATTGTTAAAAATAAACTGGATTTTGTCAGATAAACTTTATAAAGAAGAATTTATTTTTCTAAAATCTCATTTTCTACATCTGTTCTATATTGCTGTAGTGCAAACTGTAAATCCTGAATTAAATAAATTAATTCACAATTAAGGACATTAGATTGAAATTAAATTCCTTCTTAAGCTTAAATTTTTCTTTAATTTTGCATATTTTATGTAAGTATATTTTCATTGATAATAATAGGCATCCTGTCTTATACGTTTTTAAAAACATGTAATGTGTTTTTCAAATGCAAATATGTATTCTCAAAAAATTTGCTTTTGAGAATTTATGCAAAATATTGACTCTGACATAAGATATAACCCCTGAACGAAAAAAAAACAATCACGCCTTCATTAACGAACTATTTGAAAATCGTTTAAGTTTAATTCTTCAGATTATAGCATACCTATATTTTTGAATATGTAAAGTAAAGTAAAGTAAAATTTATTTATTAAATTATTTATTTTTGAAATATAACAAAAACATACGAAATAAAGTGTTTCAGGAGAAAATATTTAAAAACCTCTATAAGTAGAGGTTGTGGGAATCAGGGTTTCTGTAGAACCGTATAAAAGCCAGAAAACGCTAAATATATAAATAAAAAATATGTCCAAAATTAATCATTTATCAACTTTTGACGGATATTGTTGTCTAACTGGTCTTCGACCTTCCCCCCTCTCTCCCTACACCTGTGCCGTCAATTTCTTTCTCAGAAATAACTTTTACCAAAGTTCTTCCCCTCATCTATCTATAATAGGTTCATTTATAATCTCTAAAAGTTTATTCAGAACTTGGGTTTCATTGAAAACCTTCTTGAGAGATTAGGTTTCCATTTATACTGTTCAACCTGTATTTAACATTTAGTTTAACCAGAGGCCGAATTGAAAGAATTTGAGCCGCGGCTGAAATTTGAGACGCGGCTCAAATTTATTAAATTCGGAAACTGCTGGTCAAGGGATTCTTACCATTCTTCAAAATCAAATTTATCAAAAATATGCTTTTTTTCTACAATGGCTAGATAATGTCCATTTTGAAAGAAAAAGTGTCTATCGAATAACAAAACGTGTTTATCGAAAAACAAAAAGCGTCTATCGAATAACAAAAAGTGTTTATCGAAAAACAAAAAGTGTCTATCGAATAAAAAAAAAGTGTTTATCGAAAAACAAAAAGTGTCTATTGAATAACAAAAAGTGTTTATCGAAAAACAAAAAGTGTCTATCGAATAACAAAAAGTATCTATCGAATATCAAAACGTGTTTATCGAAAAACAAAAAGTGTCTATCGATTAACAAAAAGTGTTTATCGAATAACAAAAAAGTGTTTATCGAAAAACAAAAAGTGTCTATCGAATAATAAAAAAAGTGTTTATCGAAAAACAAAAAGTGTCTATCGAATAACAAAAAAGTATTTATCGAAAAACAAAAAGTGTCTATCGAATAACAAAAAAGTGTCTATGGAATAACAAAAAGTGTATATCGAATAACAAAAAGTGTCTATCGAATAACAAAAAGTGTCTATTGAATAATAAAAAGTGTCTATCGAATAACAAAAAGTGTCTATGGAATAACAAAAAGTGTCTATCGAATAACAAAAAGTGTCTATCGAATAACAAAAAGTGGTCAAAATATTTAGATCTAATAAGTAAATGGTGAAAGTTAAACATCCGATGTCCATTTATATTATATTTAATCATTCAGCCTCCATTTTCATTGGGTTTAAACAATTGGCCTCCATTTTATTCTACTTGAACATTTGGCCTCAATTTTAATTGCGGTTTAACGACTGGCCTCCATTTTATTCTATTCAAACAATCGGTCTATGTTTATGATATTTAAACATTGGGCCTCCATTTATGCAATATTTGAACAATCGGCCTCCATTTTATTGTATTTAAACATTTAGCCTCCATTTTATTAAATTTAGTTATTCGACCTCCATTTTATTAAAGAATAATTTTTAAAAACTAAAAAAAGGAGGGCCGAAGGTATGTATTAATGAAATTAAATATCATATGCATAGAGACCCTATATTCATAAGATTTTTTAACAATAAACCTCCATTTATACAATCTAAACATTCGGCCTCCATTTTTTTAGTTTTAAAAACTTGACCTCCATTTTCAATACATATTTGAATTAGGACTGAGGAAGGATGGGTGCTGGGACTTATGGTTAAAATGCTGTCAGTTATGGCAAAGGTAAGAATTCAACAAATATTCTAGAGGTAAAAAGTAAAAACTTTGAGTTGAAAGGTGTTTAGCGTTTAGCCCCATAGACAAAATACTATGTATCCACAGCGTAAACTTTTAGAGTATGTTATACGGAAAATCCGCCAAGGGAAAATAAAAAAAAGATATTTCAAGAAAAAGGAATGGCTTGAATAAAAAATAACTAAATCCGACCATAGTTTCTTTTTTCTTCTAGTTATTAGATATATGGATGTCCAGAGTATCTCTAATAAGGGAATTATAAGATCATAACTGTCAGGGCCCGAGCCAAAGTAATACATTATTTTTTCACTTTTTACTTTTTATGTTACGCAGAACCTTTCAGACATTACTGGTACGACATGGAGACTTCGTACCTCATATAGCTTTAATGTTACGCCCAGGTATGGTAAAAGCAAATTTATTCGGTTATATTCTATAAATTCAAAAAGTTTCGTTCATTTCATTAGATCTGCAATACAAGAAGTTATGATTCAAAAATATAAAAGATTTTGCAATCTTACATAAAATTCAATTCAATTATAAGTTAGAGGGCAACCTTAAATTTCGTCGGTATGATGTTGAACATATGTCGCTAGAGATGGGCATAGTTTTTTTTTTGACCGCACTACATTTTTGAGAACAAACGATTTTTTTGGTGAAAAAGGGACGAACGAAATGGATCATTCAGAGTATTAAGAAAATGATCGTTTTTTAAAACTAACGATTTAACTGAACGAACGATTCTAATGAACGAACGATTTTACTTAACGATCGTTTAGTAAGAAAACGAACGAAATAAATGGAAATGAAAGATAATTTTCAGAACGATACAACATCAATTATTTTAAACGATTGAAAAAAACCGAACGAAATGGGTCGTTCACGAACGATGAAGGAACGAAATGAAAAAATGTCGAACGTATCCATCTTCAATGTCGCAACGGAAAAAAAGCAAAAATAATGAATTCTTGCATCTTTGAAGCAAACGATACAATTTTCCTCTTGAGATAAACCTGATCTGAATTTTCCTGTCTAAAATATACCCTTGAGATATCATTCATAGATCTGTTTATAGTTCAACTCTGGAAATATAAACTTAAAGGGACTGTACACGTGAAATATAAACTTAAAGGGACTGTACACGTGAAATATAAACTTAAAAGGGACTGTACACGTGAAATATAAACTTAAAGGGACTGTACACGTGAAATATAAACTTAAAGGGACTGTACACGTGAAATATATAGTTAAAAAGACTGTACACTTGAAATATAAACTTAAAGGGACTGCACACGTGAAATATATAGTTAAAGGGACTGTACACGTGAAATATAAACTTAAAGGGACTGTACACATGAAATATAAAGTTAAAGGGACTGTACGCGTGAAATATAAAATTAAAGGGACAGCAGACGTAATTTCAATCCATTCTCCATTTAAAAATGGTTATGTCAGATTTCAACGATACTCTTAAAAGCTATGTCTTATTAAGTATGCAACAGATATCCATCAACTTCTGTTTGAAAATTAATTATTTTCAATCGTGGATTCTCTCTATAAAGAACCTGTCAAATCTTTCGTTGGGATGTTTATAAAGATGAAAATTTCCCTGTATGATAATTGAAGGACTGCAGTATGGTTTTGGTGAATTATATTGGCGTACAAAGCCTAGGGGTGTCAGAAATGATTTTTTTTGCATTTTTTTAAAAACTTCTATAAAACTTTTAAAGTTTAACTTTTGATAAAACTTTTTGTTCTGGATGATTGCAAATATCTATCTAAAACTTTCTTAAACTGGCATATTTTTTCTATATTCATTTTTTTAAGAGTTTAAGTCAAAATAAGTATTAATAAATATTCCTTTATATCGAGTAGATATCCCGAAACATACCGATGTAAAACCTTACAGAAAGAAGGAAAGATTCTGCAAAAAAATAGTTGCCAAACCAAACAGAATTTTTATTTCGAACAAAAATATTTAGAACTTAAAGAAGCTTTTCTGGGTTGCACTTTACTCTAGTTTTGCATTATTTTCATTTGTGTAACAGTATAAAAGACATTCTGTTGATGGTTTAAAACTAAACAGCTGATGATTACTTGGAGGGAGGAATGGCGAAAACACTAATTTGTAATGTGAAAATCTGTTAATGGAAAGTGATTGTAACAGGGAATACAGAGTGCTTTAGGGTACAGGGTACTACAATGTACTGCAAAGTACTGGGGTATACTGGGGGGAGGGGGTACAGAAACCAAACAGAATTTTTTATTTTTAATAAAAAAATAAAGTCCTTCAATTATCATACAGGGAAATTTTCATCTTTCTAAACATCCCAACGAAAGATTTGACAGGTTCTTTACTTGCGCATTTTTTTCAGAAACGATGGAGAAAATTGTCAGATTTAAACAGTTTTAAATTTTAAAGCCAAAAAACAACGATATCTTACAACAAAGAAACTAATTTTTCTTTTGTAAAAGTTTGTACAAAAAATACTTTTATCATTTACCAAATATTTTCGGAAATGGTTGCTTGAAATTTGGCCACCGAAAATGTAGTTACTTTAAACACATTTTTAACAATTCAGAAAAAATTCCATGGATTTTTTTTTTAAATTACCAAAAAACACCTGAAAACCAAACACATAAATTTCAATTAACACCTAAATTCAAGGTGGATCCGCATTTGAACTACTGCCGTTTGAACTATTGTTGCCAAACCAAACAGAATTTTTTATTTTTAATAAAAAAATACAAGTAAGCACTTCTAAGGATGATTTCTTTATAGTTTTGCACTATTTTCACGAATAAAAAAGCTAGTTTAATACTAATCAGCTGGCCACTTAATGGAGGGAGGGATGGCAACAACGCCAATTTGTAAACCCCATATCTGCAGGGTACTGTTGGGTACTGTTGGGCACTGCAGGGTACTTTGGGGTGCTGTGGGGTTCTGTGGGGTACTATGGGACTACTGTGGGGACTGTGGCTACTGCAGGTAACTGGAGGTACTGTGAGGTACTGGGGGGTACTGGGGGTTTTTGGGAGTAATAGTGGGTACTGGTGGATATTCTGGGGTACTGCAGGTACTGGGGGTACTAAGGGGTACTTGGGGGTACTCTGCGGGTATTGCAGGTACTGCGGGGTACTGTGGGTAACTATGGGGTACTTCAGGTACTGGGGGTACTGGGTGGTACTGGGAATACTGCGTGGTGCTGGGGATCAAAAAAGAGTACTGTGGGGTACTGCATGGTACTGCTGGGTACTACCCAGTACTGGGTGGTACTGGGGTGCACTGGGGCGCATTGGTTGATACTGAGGGTACTGGAGGGTTCTGGGGGTACAGTGTGGTACCAGAGGGTGCTTTGGAGAACTATTGGGTACTAGTTAATGGTTGACAACATTGTACAACCAGTAACTCTTATATCTTTGTTTATCGGAAAAGTGTACTGCAATTTCTGAGAGGAGTAAAAACAAATCCAGAGCCCAAAACTTAAGACAGGGTATCATTGTGAAAACCAGTTTTAGAACCCTAGTTTCACGAATGGGGTTAGGCAGTTTTGTGAATATCAATATTTTTGTTTTGAAATATTATTTTATTTAGTATCTTCATATTCTCCATATTTTTCGAATCTCTTAAATCAAAATCTACACAAATTTTAAGACGGCCCATAAAGGAAAGTTTCGTTCAACGATACTCTTTTGAATTTCGGGCTCAGTGTTGTTTAGGTTGAGTTTTGTTTAATTGTCTACTATAAACAGCAGTATCTTCCTTGACCGTAACAATAGATCAATTTACAATAACAGATCACTAGATGTCGTCTTTTCTAGATTTAGGGATTTTCCGCTCACAATTAACCCTAAGGTAGAAGCCCAAATGAGTTACGGTATAGAACATACTCTCTCTCTCTGGAGCATGCGCGTAACTCCCGTTGGCTTCTGCCTCAGGGTTATTGTGAACGAAAAACTCATAAATCTTGAAAAGGCGACATCTAGTGTTCTATCTGTTATTGTTAATTAATCTATGACCGGAACCATACAGGCTGAAGTAACAAATTAAAGTTCTACGCGTAAATTGAGAAACAATTGAATCTATTCCTCGCCTCAACCTCTAATTTTCTAATCCATTAATCTTTTCAACCTAATGGCGTAAACCGCTAATATTTCAAACTATGAACTCTTCAAGAGTTCAGTCAATGTTTGGAAAATTCAAGGTTTACCACCATGGACTAAACCAAAGTTGATTTGGGCTGTTTATATTTGGTTTCTTCACTTTGAATTATATCACGTTTTGTTCTAAAACTGAGAGTTATCTTATTTTACTTTTTCATTAAAAACGTATTATCCGACAAAAAAAACACAAAAACTTTTTTTAGGAAAACCCGACACCAGGAGGTCTGAGCAGATCTTATTGTTTAGAGGTCTTCTACAAAATTGGAGAAAAAATGTCCCAGGTAAAGATATTTCCGAAAATTCTAGAATATTTTTCAAACATTGAATGAATAGTCCATTTTGTATAAAGTTAAGATATATGCAAAAACTCTAAAAATATCAAGAATGTATCCAATTATTTAGATATATGCTAAAATTCTAAAAATATCAAGAATGTATCCAGTTATAGAGAAATATGCAAAAATTCTAAAAATATCTAGAATGTATCCAGTTATAGAGATTTATGCTAAAATTTTAAAAAACATCAAGAATATTTTTAAAACCTAGAATGAAAACTCCATTTTCGAGTATATATTTAAGATAAAGGCAAAAATCCTAAAATATCAGAATGTTTCGAGTTAAGATATCTGGATAAATTCTATAATATAAAAATATTTCTAAAACGTAGAATCAATACTGTATCGTGTATTGAGTTAAATATATTTGCATTAAGCTAGGAAGGGTAAAAAGAAAACAATATTTTTATTTAGATATATAATAAAATCAACCTATATTGTATTAACTATAGTAATGCGCCAACTATAGATGATTTGATTTGATTTGACATGAAATACAGTTCTACGCAATAGATTCTTAGAATAATGTTAGAAAATATTCATTTTAAATCATTGATGACACTCTTAATGAATTCAAAATTAAGGCAATCCTTTCACTTTCAGTCTAAATAAAAAAAATTAACAATTCAAATGTGAATTAAAAAATTCATTATTACCATTTCGATACAAGATTCAGAATTTTGCACTGTACAAATTTCACTGTGCTAATAAAAATATAAGAATAAATAAATAAACAATGGTGGTCGCCATAAAAAATAGAATAGGATAAAATTATAATCACACATAATACCCCTGGAAACTGAAAAAAAATCCTCAAAACAGTTCCTGTTTTTCATGCATGTTTGGTCAAAACAGTTTAGAGGCTTAATAGATCTGAGAATAGATTTAGTTGAACCTGGAGGTTTAATAAATCTGAATAAATTTAGTTGAACCTTGAGGTTTAATAAATCTGAATAAATTTAGTTGAACCTTGAGGTTTAATAAATCTGAGAATAGATATAGTTGAACCTGGAGGTTTAATAAATCTGAATAGATTTAGTTGAACCTGGAGGTTTAATAGATCTGAGAATAGATTTAGTTGAACCTTGAGGTTTAATAAATCTGAATAGATTTAGTTAAACCTTGAGGTTTAATAGATCTGAGAATAGATTTAGTTGAACCTTGAGGTTTAATAAATCTGAATAGATTTAGTTAAACCTGGTGGTTCAATAGATCTGAGAATAGAATTTAACTTCAATAATAATATTCAATACTTCCTCTTCTCTGACAGAAGGAAATTAGAAACATTGAAACTTTTTGCACAACTATTTACATTAAAATAGCATGATTTCTTTTGATTTATAACCATGTTTGACCCCCCCCCCCCCCTAGCAAAGAATTCTGTAAATGCGTGTAGAACTAAGGGGGGGATATGCATGTAATACTAAGGGCCCCATACGCGTGTAAAAATAAGGTAGGGGTGGGGGGTATGTGTGTAGAACTAAGGTGGGAGATATGCGTGTAGAACTAAGGTAGGGGGGCCGGGGGGGGGGGTAGGGCTTGTTTACCTTTAACTGTGACGTATTAGGACTCTTAGAAACTGCTTTAGAATTCACAAACAATGATACACAAGATAGGCTCTCCTACCATGTTTAATGTTTAGGATATATCCGACCCTACATAATCTTTGCAGCAATGACCAGCCAGCCTTTATAGGAGCACTGTGCACTTAAAACTCTTTACTAATAGATGCAACTAGGAGATAATGGCCTACACTATAAAAAAAATATGCAGTACTCTCTCGGTGTAGTTCCTGGCCTGTAAATTAGTAAAGGGTTATCGTACATTAGCACTGTATACACTGCAACCTCGTTATCTTGCCACCCAATATTGTAGACCAGCTTAGATATTTCAAACTAGTAATTCTGTTACAACAATATAAGCTTGAAGGTTTACATCATCAGGCTGCAAAGATATATGATTAAAATTTGAGTTTGTGGCAAAGAATCAATTCCTTTACTTTAATTTGACGTTATTAAGGAGCACTGGTTTGTTAAAATCCCTAAGAGTTTACAAACAGTTGGAATGGATGAAAGAGAGCTAGTTATGTACAATACAATCTTCCCCAGACTTCAGGTATGTGCGTACACTATACAGGGTGTACAACAAAAACTTGTATGTTTGTAAAACTGATATTTATTTTCTGTAAGAATCAATTTGATATTTAAAAGAAACAATTTGATAAATGATAGCTTTAGAAATAAAACCCTTATGAATATACAGGCAGGGACGATTTTAATTAATTTGAAATAGGTCACTAAACGACCTACCACCGGTTCAAATCTTAAATCAACGTTATCAAAAATATACATAGATTCACGGGGAATTGAGTCAGTGTTTTAGAATCTGAAATGACTGTTATGAGGTGGTTCAGAGACCTCTCTTACAGCACTTTTTCTAGAAATTAAGATCAGCTTAAGCCAAACACTTTCTTTGCAATTTTAATTATATTAAATCTGAACTGCTTGTTTCTTGACAAACAATATCTCAAATCCTAAAAGGTTTTTTTTCTGAATTCTTATTCTATGAGGTTTACCCTAAGATGAGATTTTAAAAGCTTAAACCCGAGTAAAACCCGGTCTTTGCGTCTGCTGTGACCCAAGTAAAGCTCAAATCAAGACACGGGTTTTGGATGGCCTTGGGTTTAGTAAAAACCTACCATCTTGGGTTTTTTTCTCTTAAAGGCTCGAGTCTTCAGCAACATATGATTGTAAATTTCGTAAAGTCTTTTATATTTTATTTAAAATCTCGTGAATTCCAAGGTAACATGTTTACCGACTTAATGTCCCGATGGCAAAGTTAGTGGGTAAATAATTCTGGACTTTTTATGTTCGCCATCGGTTTGTCGGCAACTAAATGTTTGCAGGGATTATTTGTGGTGTCAAATTTTATTAAATATATAAAATAAAAAACTATGAAAATAATGTATCTACATAAAGTTTGAACTTTCGAAATTTACATCTCCTTGTCACAGCTGATCTGACGGCATTCTGTCTCCTACAGAGAGAAAGCTTGCTAAACAGTCTCTGATTGGTCGAATCAGAACCAATCCTGACTTGGGTTCTATCTAAGCCCGAGTTTGGGTTTTACTCGGGTTTAAGCTTTTGAAATCTCATCTCTATACTAGAAACAAAGTAAAAATGTTTTTCGAATTGGATTTCTCTCGCATAATCTCTTTAAATTGGTTTTTAGGTCTTGCTTTCTACTTTATTTTATGATTCACTTAGTTTACTACAGTCCAAAATATATTTATTTATTTTTTGTAAAGAATAGGTAAAGGGGAAAGGGTTGTTTATGTGATGCGGTATTTATACCGCACAGAAGCTAGTTTTAATTGTAAATAATAACAAAGATTTACTTTTGTAGAATGATCGTAATAAGAACAATCATAATTGCTTTATTACTTTAAATCTTGTTCTATTGTTAGTCCATCTGAGGCATTTCTTTATCTTCTTAAATTATCAAGTAGTAATAAAACAAAAAATTGTAATTTTTATCAACGATTTTGAAAAATCAAAATTTCTAAAGCAAATTTTTTAATTTCTGACCATCAATAAACCTATCCAGGGACCTTGCGAGGCCTCTAATGCGATGAAATAAAATGTAAATACGGGTTTAAACAGTTAAAAAAAGTTATGGTTTTCCCCCCCCCCCTGAAATTAATCAAAACCCCCATTCCACTTTTCTGTTAGTTCTACTAATTAATTAATGATTATACAGGGTGTCGCAAGAAACATGACAGTTGCAATGCATAGTTTTGAATTGTCTTCTTCCATAGACTGTGTTAGATGTTTAAGACTTTTTGCAGTTTATTTTATAAAAAGAATTTTTTACTCAAAATATTTTACTTTGAAATCAATTTTACTTTAAGACGCCACATGACTTTTTTATTATTCTCTTTGGTATAAAACAACTTAACAAATTATGGAAGAATTGTCATTTAAAAGAATTCACCAGCTGTATTGTTTTGTGAGACAACCTGTACCTTATTTTAGTTATATTTGAGTGAAACTCTGGACGAGGAAATCAAAGTTGATTTACCAATTCCGATCATTTACTTTTCAAGGTAAGGGAACTTGAGAAACATATTCTAAGAACGTTAAAAATAAGATTTCCCCAATCCTGATTTCATTCATAAAAAGAACCCCCCTCCTCCCCCCCCTCTCCGAGTTGGTTAGCCCTTTAGCCCTTTAGCTCCGATTAGTTGACAGTTTAGCCCTTTAAATCCTATTATTTGATAGTTTAGCCCTTTAGCTCCTATTAGTTGACAGTTTAGCTATTTACATTCTATTGGTTGATAGTTTATCTCTTTAGCTCCGATTAATTGACAGTTAAGTCATTTAGCCCCGATTGATTGACAGTTTAGCCCTATAGCTCCGTTGTTGACAGTTTAGCCCTTTAGCTCCGATTAGTTGAGTCTAGCCCTTTAGCTTCGCTAAGTTGATATTTTAGCCCTTTAGCTCCGATTAGTTGACAGTTTAGCCTTTTGGCTCCAATTAGTTGACAGTTTAGCCCTTCAGCTCCGATTAGTTGACAGTTTAGCCCTTTAGCTCCGATTGATTGATAGTTTTATGTCTTTAGCTCAGGTTTTGACAGTTTAGCCCTTTAGCTCGGATTAATTGATAGTTAAACCCTTAAACTCCTTTTAGTTGAATTTTCTTTTTTAGTTTTCTCGGAGACGGTGTTCACGACTGCTTAGTAACAGAAAATCTTTGTGCAAGCCGATATTTCCAGGTATATCTTCTTCAATTCAGACAATTCAGATTAAACAGGTTAAAAAGATTAAGAAATACAATCAAACATAAAGGATGTTAAAAATGCGCGTCTTGTGTAGAATCTATATTTTTTTCACAACCCTTTAAGCTTATTTTATTTTTTCAATATTAAAAATAAATCTATAATTAAACTAAAAGTTGTTAGTTCATCGTTGAAAAATACTACAATCTACCACCAATTATATTAAATGTAATGTAAATAATAAATATATATCTTTTTTTCCTTTCCTTTTCCTTTCCCTTCCTTTTCCTTTCCCTTCCTTTTCCTTTCCCTTCCTTTCCCTTTCCCTTCCTTTTCCTTTCCTTTTCCTTTCCTTTCCTTATCCTTTCCTTTCCTTTTCCCTCTTTTGGAATTGCATGAGAAATATTCCCACAACCTCTATTTTTGGAGGTTTTTAATTCTGTATGTTTTTGTTATATTTCATGAATAAATAATTACTTAATTAATTTAGAAAAAAATAAGTTTCAAGACAAAGCTACCACAGAGACTCAAATAAGGCTTGATTAATACTTATAAGGTTTTTGTACTAAATGTTTCACAAATATACAAATTCATACTTCCATTTACTTTCCACGCACCCCTGACCCTTTAGTAAAAGTAAATTTAACCTAAAGTCTGACCGCGTCAACCTTGTTGCACCGGCTAGTCCTATTGAGTGTCTACTCATTTACCCAATGTCCGGGCGATACAGTACAAACTGGACCGGAAAGGTTGACCCGGCTCGGAAATTCAAATGTACTACGGCTGCCCGTGTTTCCTTACGTTATGCCGAAGAGAGAAGATATAATTGCGAAAAACGACTTTAGAACCAAATAAGAACGTAAAAATTCTTAGATTTTCTCTGAGGATGCTAATTTTTAATCTAATCCCTGTATCTTTGCAACAGAATTCATATTTTAAAATATCTAACGGTATTGGGTTAATTGCAAAGATATAAGGATTGAAACAAATCACTTGCGTTACCTAAAAGCAAAATCAAAAGTCATTTCTCAAAAAAATACAATTTTACACTCTTTATGAATTATTTACACCAATAAAAAATCATTTCCATTAAGCAGTAGAAGTTTATGAATTTTTTATTATTTCAACATTTTACGAGCATAAATATTTTAATAGTTTAAATTCGACTCAATTTATTACCAGAATTATGTTATATGTATGACCATTATAATATTTTAAAAAGATATGATTTAAAATTGTTTGAATAGGAAATGATTTTATTTTAACGATATCTAAGTTTAGATTATTTTATTTTATTTTTATTGTACAAAAGAAAAATGACAACATTTATTAGTAATTTTTCAATGCTCGTGTTTATAGAGGCTTACTGAATTTTCCTCGGGGGTCCTTTTTTCATTTTAGTTTAATTTTGCAAAAGGAAGTAATAAACGGAGTGATTAATATACTGATTGTACATTAATCTTCTTTTCGACAATAAAAGTAAAAATAAATCTGACAACAAAGTTTTCACAAACTGTCAAGAAATATTACAAACCTTACATATTCAGTTCATTTATTTTAAATACTTACGTAAACATTTTATTTTTGATTTATTTTAAATACTTACATAAACATTTTATTTTTTATTTATGTTAAATACTTATAAACATTTTATTTTTTATTTATTTTAAATACTTACATAAACATTTTTTTTTCTATTTATTTTAAATATTTACATAAGCATTTTATTTTTTATTTATTTTCAATACTTACGAAAACTTTTTATTTTATTATTTATTTTAAATACTTACGTAAACATTTTTTAAAAATTTATTTTAAATACTTACATAAACATTTTATTTATATTTATTTTAAATACTTACATAAACATTTTATTTTTTGTTTATGCTAAACACTTACGAAAACATTTTATTTTATTATTTATTTTAAATACTCACATAAACATTTTAATTTATATTTATTTTAAATACTTAGGTAAACATTTTTTAAAAATTTATTTTAAATTCTTACATAAACATTTTATTTTTTGTTTATGCTAAATACTTACGAAAACATTTTATTTTATTATTTATTTTAAATACTCACATAAACATTTTTTTTATTTATGTTAAATACTTACGAAAACATTTTATTTTATTATTTATTTTAAATACTTACATAAACATTTTATTTTTTATTTATTTTAAATACTTACATAAACATTTTATTTTTTATTTATTTTAAATACCTACATAAACAGACTAGACAGGAAATGGAACTTTTTCCTCACATAAAATGTTTTTTCTTCAATCCATATATTGTTGAAACCTGGTGTCGCAAAGCTAAGATATTTCTACCAAATCAAATAATTAATGTTTACAATATCAAAATATAGAAATCCAAAATTAGGTACTTTTGTTATTTTTAAGTTTTTAAAATTCGTAATCTGGGCCAGACTAAATCTAACAACAATAGAAAAAATGAGTTGTGACATAAAACAGCGAATAGTTGGGTTTTAAGTAAAGTGTAAGTAATAATATTATTAAGAAAGTAGGTACTAGTAATCCCTGTCTATTTGTCTGTTCGTTTATATTTCCAACTATAACTTATTAATTGATTGATTCGCCTCAAATTTTGTTTGAAATCTTGGTAGAACCACGAAAATGTTGATGCTTTAAAATAAATGGTCAAAGAAAATTTGGCTGCCGGGCAAAGCTGGGTTCCCGAGCTAGTACAGTAAAAACAGTGTACAGTATAATTTTCTAGTGTAGTATGTACTGTATACAATTAGGTTGACCGTGATACAACTAAGCTGTACAGTACAGTACAGTGTAGTATGTACTGTATACTATAGATTGACCGTGATACTACTAAGCTGTACAGTACAGTACAGTGTAGTATGTACTGTATACAATTAGGTTGACCGTGATACAACTAGGCTGTACATTACAGTACAGTGTAGTATGTACTGTATACAATTAGGTTGACCGTGATACAACTAAGCTGTACATTACAGTACAGTGTAGTTTGTACTGTATACTATAGATTAACCTTGATACAACTAAGCTGTACATTACAGTACAGTGTAGTATGTACTGTATACTATATGTTAACCTTGATACAACTAAGCTGTACAGTACAGTACAGTGTAGTATGTACTGTATACAATAGATTAACCTTGATACTACTAAGGTGTACAGTACAGTACAGTGTAGTATGTACTGTATACTATAGATTGACCTTGATACAACTAAGCTGTACAGTACAGTACAGTGTAGTATGTACTATATACTATAGATTAACCTTGATACCACTAAGCTGTACAGTACAGTACAGTGTAGTATGTACTGTATACTATAGATTAACCTTGATACAACTAAGCTGTACAGTACAGTACAGTGTAGTTTGTACTGTATACTATAGGTTGACTGTTATACTACTAAGCTGTACAGTACAGTACAGTGTAGTATGTACTGTATACTATAGGTTGACCGTGATACTACTAAGCTGTACAGTACAGTATAGTGTAGTATGTACTGTTTACTATAGGTTGACCGTGATACTACTAAGCTGTACAGTACAGTACAGTTTAGTATGTACTGTATACTATAGATTATCATTGATACAACTAAGCTGTACAGTACAGTACAGTGTAGTATGTACCGTATACTATAGGTTGACCGTGATACTAATAAGCTGTACAATACGGTACAGTGTAGTATGTACCGTATACTATAGGTTGACCGTGAAACTACTAAGCTGTACAGTACGGTACAGTGTACTATGTACCGTATACTATAGGTTGACCTTGATACTACTAAGCTGTACAGTACAGTACAGTGTACTATGTACCGTATAATATAGGTTGACCTTGATACAACTAAGCTGTATCTGTACAGTACAGTATGTACAGTGTATAGTATGTACTGTATATTATAGGTTGACCGTGATACAACAAAGTTGGCGTATATGCGAGCAGCAATGGCATCTCTGGCAAATGTTCATGGTATCACATTCTCCTTCATGAAGAGTTTAGGTAATACAGGGTTACCCACAAAGAATGAGACCTAATGACGACCTAATATCGATGAAAAATATAATTTTGTATCAAGTGTATTAATTGGACTGCAGGCGTAATTTTATTTATTGAGCAAAATGTTCGATTTATAACGGTACGGGACGGTACGGTACGGTATTCACTCCTGTATGCCGATTCCATTAGGGCCTAGTCCAATCAGGGTTCAGTCTTGTGTTTGTTGTCTCTAAACCAATAGAAATAGTATGGCGGTTACGTCTATCTTTCTATCTATCTTATTATCCAATTAGAGTTATGAATCCTTCAATCGGTTCTATCAGTAAATGGAAATATTTACTTCTACTGAAACGATAGTGATAACTTAGTCTGATCATATATCATTTGTTTTCCAATACAAATTATTTTCAGTTAGGGTTTCTCAATATTTAAGGGAGTGTTCGCGAAAAATGAAAGGGGGTATAGGCTTAATGCGATAAAAAAGCACTTTTGCTCGCTACTAATCTTACTTCTATCTGTTGCGTCTATAATGAGAAAAATGTTAAAAACGACTCACACCGAAGAACGCAGCGTCCATACAAATTCGGAAAGATGTAACATTCAACTCGGACGCGTAAACAAATCAATTTAATTCCAAACAAATCATTCAGATATTACAACCTATAGTCATCGATTATTTTTCGACGCACACTCCCTTTAAATAACTTGGGAATTAATTTATTGGGGATTAGATGGAAATTCTCTTGAATCCACAACAACAGTGCTTTTCTAAATATAATATATGATTATATTATATATTAAACCTCAGTTCATGTCTTTCATTTAATGCATATTGTTACTTTAAACAATAAAGTTTGTTATTGTTTACAAAAACAAGTTTATACACAGCTGTAAAAGATATTTTTCTTTATCTGACCTTATTGTTTGGAATGTGAGATGTCCTGGTTAGTTTAGATAGAAATATTTCAAAGTATATAGTTCCTTTATCAGCAGAAGTATATTCACATTTTTATGATGCTTTTACTGAATATAATCATAGGCGTATACAGGATTTTTATCCGGGGGAGGGGGGGGGGTTACATTTTTTTATTTATTTGAGAGGGCTCAGTACCCTCATTGACCCAGAGAACCCCCTGGAAACCTTAGGTTTTATTGATCCGGCCTCCCACCCCTGTATACACCTCTAATTATATTATAAAAGAATATTTCTGAATTATTTAGGAGGAAAATCAGCTTTGCTGAAGGAATTCCCCACAATTCGTGAACAGGTATATATTTTGTATTCATGAACAGGTATATATTTTGTACTCGTAAACAGGTATATATTTTGTATTCCTGAACAGGTATATATTTTGTATTCGTGAACAGGTATATATTTTGTATTCATGAACAGGTATATATTTTGTATTCGTGAACAGGTATATATTTTGTATATACGTGAACAGGTATATATTTTGTATTCGTGAACAGGTATATATTTTGTATTTGTGAACAGGAGTATATATTTTGTATTCGTGAACATGTATATATTTTGTTTATTTTGTATTTTTACCGAATTTTATTTAAAACTTTTCCATCACAAAAAAGGATGATATTCGAAGCCTTGTTATCAAAACTGGGATAATTAACTAACTTTTATTCGAAAATTCGAAACTTTTAAATGCTTAAAAATTATTTTTAACGTATAGTTAAACCTGGTTACTATTTTTTATCATTATTCTTTAGAATTATTTTAGACCTAGCTCTCATGGTAGAGTAAATGTTGCAAACAATTTTCTAAATAAAAAAAAAGTGTGTCACCAATATCAATCTAAACCAGCATTTTGTTGACTTAAGGTAAACGAAAAAGCCATGAAAGGAAAATATTTTTTGTTCAGTTTTATAGGAAAAAGAACACTTGCCACGAATCCTAATTTTCTAATCGCATATATATTTTATGTGGCAAAACTTTTATATTCCTAACTATGAAACCAGCTGTTATAGTCAAAGTTGGAAATATTAAAGATTTATGCCATCAAGTTGCAAAGATATAGGAATTTTACTTTTTTGGCGGTTGTTTTGAATGTTTTAAATAGAAAATGTAGTTATTATTATCATTATTATTATTATTATTAATAAATATCAGGAAGAGAAGGGAAAAGAGTTATATCCTAACAATAGAACCTTTTATATTCTTGTCTCGAGTGTAAACAAAAGCTTTTAATATCGAAGAAATATGGAAATCTAAAGAAAAATCGAAGAAATATGGAAACCTAAAGAAATATCGAAGAAATATAGAAACCTAAAGAAATATCGAAGAAATATGGAAACCTAGAGAAATATCGTGTTTCCGATGAGTTATTAACTATTTATAACACTATTTCATAGTTTCATATAAAGTATATTTTAAACTATCTTAAACTATCTTAAACTATCGTGTATTTTATCATTCTTACTCACTTCATCGTGAGTTTCATAATGAACGTGCTATAAAGTAATCATCGTGCTATAAAGTTAAATTAGCTGTATATTATAGCACCGTGCTATAAAGTAATCATCGTGCTATAAAGTTAAATTAGCTATACAGTATAGCACGTGTTCTATAAAGTTTTGATTGGTTCCCATATTTTCTCCAAAAAAATTAGGATATTTCCAAAATATTACTTTTCAATTGAATTATCAAACACAATCAGTTTGCAAAGATATATGTTCACTGTTATTTAAAGATTATTGAATAATGTATTGTTATCCAATATTGAATACCCAGTATTATTGTTTACATGCGTGATAATTGGACACTGGACAGCTTTTCCAATATTTTGTTTTGTTATGAAGATTATATCTTTTCTTTTTTTTTACCTCATAATTGTTTTCCATTACTCCGGGCTTAATTATTTTCTATATTAAGATATATTAGGATAAGAGTAGAAATGGTGAGGGGAGAGGAATAACGGGAAGGGTGGGAGGGGGGGGGGGTGTTAGACCAAAAATTTGACTCAAAAGAAGTCGGCAAGAAAGAAAAGAGAATGTTTGCCAGGGTCACAGAAAAAATGAAGAAAAGAAAAGTATATCCCGATCAATTAAAACACATTTACGATTTTTTTTATACATTCCCTATAACGATCTTAAAAGCTTTTAAAAATTTCAAATTCTCTTCAAACCCATTAAGCTTTAAAACTTTCTAAAGCATTTCTGCATATTTTTTCCTTTTTTTCGAACCGAGCAAGTTTTCAAGTTTCTTTATCATTGAAATATAAAGATACATGAAGATTGAGGTTAAAGTTAGAAACTAATTATTGGAATTTTCCAAAAGATTTTAGGTAATTATTGGTTGATCTTGTTCGGATAAAAAGTTAAATAACTGCCTGGCGTTGCCCATGAAATTGTTTTAAATCGAATTTTAAAAAAAACGTTTGACTTTTAAAGAAAAAAACTGTTTTAAGTTATATAGGCTTTCTTACTCCCAGGGTACTTTAAGGTTCCATAAAGAAATTTCAACCAATTCGGTCCAGTAACATACAATGATACAAACAAATATATAGGAGCATGAGCGAAAAGCTTCAATATATAAAATAGATAAAGGAGGTAGCAATTCTTAATAAAAAAGTTATAATTGTTTATATTAGATTCTTTTTAATCAAAAATAGCAGAATAGGTTTTTTTCCTCCAGAAATTGCTTTTCTGATTTTTTGGGTTCAGAAGATTTGGAAATTATGAGATGATTGGTAAATCCCAAATGGCTTAATCCATTAAATGGGAGACATTTAAAACTGTGGAATAAAAAAACGACTTTTAAACTCAAATTATGATTTCATTTCTAGTTTAATGAACATTAAACACAGAAATTGTTTCAATATGCAACTTCAAAACCCTCTTTCATTGAATAAGTTTAATTTATAACATCATACACAAACAGATTGATAAAGTGTCAATTTAGATTTAATTAATAATATCTATTTATGCAACTGCCTTGTTTTATAATACGGGACATTATATTTTTGCCAGGATTTTTACTTAAACCGAAAAAACGCGAAAATAAACTTGAAAATCTTCTGGGATATTATTTCTCATAATGTCCCAGGACAATTACGAGAAATAATATCCCAATATCTATAAATCTATATCTATAAATCATATGAATATGTATTTTAGGTTTTACCAAAGGATAAGAAGGTTAAAAGACAAGTTCAAAACTGTGTTCTTCCATATTTGATATACTTGGCTAAAATAAAACCAGATATTTCTCAACAGATTCAGGTTAGTTTAGTTTAGTTTAGTTTAGTTTAGTTTAGTTTAGTTTAGTTTAGTTTAGTTTAGTTTAGTTTAGTTTAGTTTAGTTTAGTTTAGTTTAGTTTAGTTTAGTTTAGTTTAGTTTAGTATAGTTTAGTTTAGTTTAGTTTAGCCTGTTTATAGTTACAAAGAGGGGTATACCTAATTCACAATCATACCCTTTAAACCTTAATTATTTCCGTAATGTGTAAGATATCCTCATTTTCTTGCTTTAAATCTGACAATTTCTGTTATTGTTTCTAGAGCAGAAATGCGCAAGTCACTTTCTGGAAAAGCCACAATTGAAAGTGATTAACTTTTAAAGAGAAGATGATTGATTTCTTACACATTCTTCGTCAATAAAAGCTTTTAAGGGACATGCTCCTGTATAAATGTAGATTGAAGTTACTTAAAATTACGCTTACAGTCCCTTTAATAAAGTTGTTTGTGCAGATAAAAAGCAATATTTATTTAGGTTTTGTCTAAATTTCACAAATTCCTGTATAAAGTATACGCGGAGCTCCAGGTAGAGTAAACAACTTAGAAATTGAAAATAAATAAAGAAAATGTTTTGTAAACTTAAAGATTTCAGACTCTTTGGTGTAGTTCACCATTTCTAGCTGTCTACCCTTCTTTCTAGTTTACTAGATTGAAAAGTACAAGGGGTATAAAAAAACATCAAAGATTGAATATTTTCGCATTATTATAGATTGTACATCGAACAACGACAGAGATTTAAATTTGAAATTCTTACAAATGCACTGGTATTAATTGAATAATAATTATCAAAGAATGAATCTTAAATTAGTAAAATATATTATGTTAATGAATCAATGACTGTATTCATGTATAAATGAATAAATGAATAAATGAATAAATGAATAAATGAATAAATGAATAAATGAATAAATGAATAAATGAATAAATGAATAAGTTTTTTTTTGAAATTACTAGTCGCTTAATATAATTCTATGATATCGTTCCTAGACATTTGATAGTTTAAACTATGCAATCTGCTAGACCAAATTTTGAAATATCAAAAGTTTACATCATCTTGCACAGAATTAGGGATTATAAAACTATAGCTTGTGGTTTGTGGCCAGTAATCAGTTCCTTTATCAAAATTAGGGTTTTACATCGGAATTCCGTTGCGCAGAATTGCGTCCAACTGGTCTCGAATTGTGCGGAATTGTGCGGAATTGCGCGAAATTGCCTGGGATTTACAGGGCTCGCAATTGCGTTTTTTACATTTTACTGTGACGTCAGAGAACAGCTTAGTTTTTGTGAAAACAATAGCAAAGGTTGTAAACTTGTAAACAAAACTAAGTGAACTGTTTACTAATTGTTTTTGTTTACAAAAAAACTAGTTCTAGATCTGATTCTCTCGTTCACAGCGATCCAAAGGTTGCAAGGCTTTCACGCAAAAATTGTTAAGTTGTCCCACTTACGTCTAGAAAACATGCAGGTGCTTTGATCTTCTAAAATATATGTATGGCAGCAAAACAGAATAAACAGTGAGTTGAAATCAAATGTCACCCGCGACCTTAAAAGGGAGAGACCGGCTAGACATGGTGGTTGAGCTGAAAGTGCAGTATTGTTGAAAAAAACTTTAGGATTTATTTATTTATTTATTTATTTGATACCAATGAGACATTTCTACGTTGTACAATTTTTAAATATGAGCGTAAATTCGTTTGTTATATCTCACCTGTTGTTTCAGTCAGCAGAAGAACGTTTTTATACAACTCTTAAATAACATGAACAAAACAAGAAACAAATACTATTCTTCAAACTAGTTTTATGTATACAAACATGTTGAGATAAATAATGAACTTACATTATTGAAAAAAGTTACTAAAATTAATTTTAAATCTTGCAGATTTATGAATTTTTTTGGGATTTCGATAGTTGGAGGTTTTCTTTATTTAAATTGTGAAGACGACATTTTTAAGAAATCTGCGACTAAAACTTTAGAAATAGGAAACAGAATAGTGATAATGAAATAATCCACATTACGGTTTTAGTATGGCTTTAATCGATCATTTCTTTTAAGAAATATGTTTCTAAATAATTAACAAATTAGTTTATAATAATTATCTTTACATGTTTTTTTAAATAATTAGGCTATTAGGGCGCTCCGTGCCCATCTTCTATTTCAACTTTTAATTATGGCTTTATCTCTGAGCATCTTCTCTTAGTACATTATAAAACAAAAACAAAAAAAAGTTTGCGGATTTCATAATATGTTTTCGCGCATTTTTATTTTACAAAAAAAAAACTTTTAAACACAACCTTTTAAAATTTTAATCATTCATAAACCTTTCCTGAGCTGAAAACTTTAGAATGAAATATCCAATTGTCAGGTCAATTTGCTTCTCTGGAGTTTAAATTCATGTGGAGAACAAGCAATATTTAAACTGGATATTAAGAAAAAGAGTGGTTTAAGCCTTAATCCTGATATCCACCATTCTAAAGTTTTCAGCTCAGGAGTCACGTGAGGTCCCACACAAGATTTGGGCCCGATCGGTTCAGCCGTTTTGGCCTTTATTGGATACAAACAAACAGACAGACAGACAAGCTTTTACATATAGATTGTCTGACTCCCTTATCCTTGTTTATTCTATTATTAACCAGCAGGGAAGGCTATGATTGATAAAGAACCAGTTTTCCAATAATAGATAAATAGTAAACAAACAAAAAACAAGTCTATATAGATTATTACCTGACAGCATCCTTGAAAATGATATGAACTTTTTTCTTGAATTTGATTAGGAATTCTTTTATAACAAGAAAACCCCCTCCCTTCCTGCCCCTGGAATATATGTTTATCTTAAAATCTTAGTACTCTGCAATGCTGATTGACTGGCAAGGATGTGGTTTCGATCTAGTTAGCAATGATCTAATGTGGTGCTTGTATGGATTCATAAAGGTACTTAATAGTTAATCTTAATTTATATAATAAAACAAGACATTCGTATATATATACATATGTTGCGTATAGCCGGCCAAACTTTTTTTGTGGCGGGGGTGTTATAGGCTAAAAAAAATTCTAATTTTTTTCAATATTTAAAAAAAAAATTTCCACGGGCAACACCGGTCCTTTCAAACTAGTATTCTTTAAAATTAAACAGATTAACCTAGAACCTAGAGACATCGAAAGAATTTAAAAAATGACACAGATATTTAGTCTTTTTCATTAAGTAAAAATATAAAGCTCTATAAACCTTGTTCTGCATATTTCCTATTTTATTTTTACAATTACTGAGATTCAGGTATAATAGTAAAAAAAACATAAAAAAATTTTCAATAATTGATCTGAAGTAATTCTGTTATGAATTTGGAAGGTATAATTGATCGAGATGGTGCCTGTATAATGTACAATTTTGCAAGAATATAAATTTTTTATTTCTGACATTCAGAGATTTAAAATAATATATCAAGGAAGGGGGTATGATTATAAGATAAGTGAAATTACTAAATATTGAGGAATTCTTTAATACCTAAACCAATGATCGAATGGAGGCCTTATACCGCACTAATTAATTACTTATTATTTACATATCATTTATTTTGCTATTCATGTTCATCCTAAACAATATCTGGTAACTTTTAAGGAAGAAAAAACATCTTTATGATTTTTTAAAGGGACTGTACGCTTATTTTGAATTTATAGAGTGGCATGGCTGCTTCATTTTCGGTGCCTTTAAATATTTTAAAATATGCCATATTTAGCTTCATACGCGAACACCCTTACATATTTCCCGAATTAGAATTTCTAGAGTTAAACATTTTAAGGAAATTTATTTTCTGTGTTTAATATCGTAAAATCAGAAAATGCATGAAAGGGACAGACCGGCTATTTAAGGTAGTTGAACTGAGTATGCAGTGTTGTGGTCATTTGAGACATATAAAACTTTTGCTTGATTATTATTGAAAAGACGATATTTGAAGAATTTGTAGAAATCTGCGAACAAATTCATAGAAAATAAGATAATGATAATAAGATGATAATAATGAAAACGAAATAATTGATGCTAGCATTCATTTATTGGCAAATTTCTTTTGAGAAATATGTTCCTAACCATCTACTTAGTTTAATATATAATTTTTACTTTATTTTTCGTCGTCGTTCTTTAATAACTTTAAAAAACCGGTTCTGAAAACGTACCCACCCAATTCATGAACGTCGACTATACACTCAAAATCAGTAATTATACATCTTGGAAAAGTTTTATATGTCTCAAATCAATCCTAAAGAATTTGTCCACAACTCTGCATACTCATGGTTTAACTCTGCAAATGAAGGGTCACTTGAAATTACGTGGGGAGTCCCTTTAAAAACTCATGAAGATGCTTTTTTCTTTCTTATTCATTAATATTAATGAATTAATTACTCTCCTAACTAATAAATATTATTATGTGTAGAACCTGCCCGAGACAGGAGAGATGATTCATGGGTTCGTGGAATATTCTTTAGGTAATACAAAAAAAATATAAAAAGGGTGTCCCAACAAAATATACATGGTGTCTCTGAAAAAAAGTGTGTGTAAGCTTTTTATATTAAAAAATGTTCTGAAATTGGGGGTCGTCAAAAAACCCTTTTGCTCAAAATAGGCCTAAAATTGGAAAAAGAGCTGGAGGTCTATTTTCCAAAGATTTTCAAAAAATAATTCAATCAAAATTTTCTACTTAGATGGAATAATAAGCTCGTTATGAAAGTTATGGAGGAACACTTTTTAGTAAAAACAACACGTTTAGTTGGCGGAAAAGCTTAAGGGCACTTTTTTCAGAGACACCCTGTATATATAAAGGGTGTCCATAAAATGGTTTATGCCTGCAAGGGAACTTCCAAAACTTAAACAGTAATAGAATTTCCTACCATTATAATAAATGATGTTTGAAAAATTTGATTTTATATCTATTGGTCTCAAAAATGAAAATCAGTTTAAAATTGAGGCTCTGACATCAACTGAAGTAACTTTTTTAGAGACACCCTTTAGAATTATGTTGGTTGTCGCTTAAAAGGGTGATAATGAGATGATGTCAAGATTGAGTCCTGATATATTCTAAAAGAATTGCGTCTTTGTCACAAACTTAAATTTTCTAATCCTTACACATATTTGGAACATGTAAATCTTTGATATATCTATTATTTGACCTAGCAAAATTCATAGTTTAAAATATTTTAGGTCTACATCATTAGGTTATAAAGATATAGGGATTAGAAAATCAGAGTTTGTGGCAAAGACTCAATTCCTTTGTTTGAGATTTCTTTTACTTATCACTTTCTACCTCTAGCATGTTTAATAAGTACCTCGACATTACTTGATATTCCCGCCAAAACTTTGAATTATCCAACGACATAAATAGTTTAAATAATGTCAGTTTTATATGAATAATTATTTTTAGTCACATACTGGGACTTCTTAAAGAGCGTACTAAAGGTAAAACTTTTTTATCATTGAAAGCTTCAAAAATAATGTTTGTAATATCTTATGTAGATGTAAATATAATCCGTCCTGGTATAGTTTATCCTGATCCGTATTTGTATAGTTTATCCTTTTCAGTCCTGGTATAATTTATCCTTATCTGTCCTGGTATAAATTATCCTTATCCGTCCTGGTATTGTTTATCCTTATCCGTCCTTGTATAGTTTATCCTTATCCGTCCTTGTATAGTTTATCCTTATCCTTCCTTGTATAGTTTATCCTTATCCATCCTGGTGTAGTTTATCCTTATCCGTCCTGGTATAGTTTATCCTTATCCGTCCTTGTATAGTTTATCCTTATCCGTCCTGGTATAGTTTATCCTTAGCCGTCCTGGTATAGTTTATCCTTATCCGTCCTGGTATAGTTTATCCTTATCCGTCCTGGTATAGTTTATCCTCATCCGTCCTGGTATAGTTTATTCTTATCCGTCCTGGTATAGTTTATCCTTATCCGTCCTTGTATAGTTTATCCTTATCCGTCCTGGTATATTTTATCCTTATCCGTCCTGGTACAAATACAAATTTTGATCTTATAAGATAAAAGGGACCAGGTTAAAGTTAAAAGAAAGGTGGTATAAACTGAAGAGTTGATCGCGAGCAATATTAGTTCTATCTGATGTCCCTGTCTCGAGAAATTTATATAAAAATGTGTCAAAGTTATATCCACAGAAGCATAGATTAGAATAGAAGGGAAATAAGACAATCCCTCGGTATGACTTTGTTCAGTCACTTTGTTCCTGAATAGGAGTTCAAAGTGTACAATCAATGTAAATTTGTTCACAAATTAAATATCACATAAATACAGTATGATCCCTGGATATATCTGTTAAAACTTCTTCTTTTTACAAAAGTTGTTAAATTTATTTTAAACGTGTATTAGCTAGGTGAATTAAAGTTATTATTTGATCAAATATTAAAACGTAAATTTCTTAGCTGTGAAAGGAATACGTACAAACTTGTTAATATTTGTTGCTCTATCACTATAGTTTCAGTAGAAGTAAATATTTCCATTTACTGTTATAGCGACGATATATGGATTTATCTCTAATTGGATAATGAGCTAGATAAAAAGATAGATGTTATCGCCATGCAATTTCTATTGGTTCAGAATAGACAACAAACACATGGCTAAACCCTGATTGGATCAGGGGCTAATGGACTCGGCATACAAAAGTCTATATAGCTATATAGACTTTTTTGTACTACATCTTGTTTAAAAAGAATTTTCTTATTTTACATAAGTAAGCAAAAGGGTGAGAGTAAATTTTGAATTGCATGTTTAGAAACCCCATTGATATTTATAAAAATTCAGATTTAGTAAAAATATTTTCAGATTTATTCATGGCTCGATATCATCCCTGTAATAAGATAAGGGTTTCCAAACTTTTGATTATTATTTTCTAAAAATGTAACAATCTTGATGATTTTATGTTCTTAAAGATATAATGATTATAAGTAAGAGTTTGTTGCAAAAACTCACTTTCTTAAAATTTTCTTTAAAATCCTTAAATATTTAGTCCTTTGGAGACACATGCTCCGACTTTGATATCCCGGAGGACTCGGACTGGGCGGCGGAGTTAATCAAGGAGGGATTTACACTAGAGTTCATGAAGAATGCAATTATCAGGTTTAGTACAGAGGGGTTTGCACCTTACAGAACCTCTCCTCAAGCTTTTAAAGGGACTGTGAGCGTAATTTCAAGTGTTCTCTATATGCAAAGATGGTATTGCCGATTTTAAACAATCAAAATGGTTATACTTTTAAAAGGCTCTAAGCTCTATCCATAGACACAGTGTTTTGTCCTTTAAGGACTCATCAGTATGGCTCTAATCATCAGATTTTTGATTTTGCAGTTGACGGGGCTTGAACCATGAATCCTTAGATTATGAATCAAACACGCTAGCCACTGCTCCACCAAACCCTGATGATTTGGTAATGAAATAGGGACCAGAGAGCTCAACCAACTCATTATAAGTTGAGGGCCTTGCATAATGCTAATTAGTAAACCTATTCATTACCACAGAGAACTCAAGTTTAGCGGACTAAACGAGTATATATATCCATAGACACAGTGTTTCGTCCTATTAGGATATATATATATATATATATATATATATATCTTTTTGAAAAATCGTTTTTTGCTAATATCTTTGATCAGAAAAAAGTGCTATATAATGTTATCAAAGAAAACTTGTCGAGAATACATTTTTTAATAAAGCCATGGGCGTTTACAGGGAGAGGGTTCAGGGCATCCCACAAGCAGACTTCTCTGCATTTTTAAATAAGAAATACATTGTAAAATGATTTCTTTGATTTATTAAAAATTCTATGAAAATCTTCAATTGGAAGAATATCTAATTGTTTGAGATGAAGAATGAACTTCTTGGATATCTAGATCATGCTTAAATTTATAAAAATCTTTTTACTTTCTAGGCCTGTGTTATGTTTGAAGAATACTCAACTTCTGATGGATTGGTTTCACAAAATAACTAGCGGTATAAAAATCCGTCATATAAATATGGAATTGTGACCAAAAATCCCACCAATGGCATTGCAGTATACTTTTCACGTGATACAGAAAAAGACACGTGACAATAATACTGCATTGTCATTGGTGGGAGAACTAGTCACGTGATACGTAAGTAATAATTATATTGTCAACTATATCTATTAAAAATTAAAAGTTATTGAATTCAAATAATAATAGGAGCAAACCTAAGTTACTTAGGCTCCTCTGGGATATCGTCGTTTTAAGATTGGTTGCGTATTTGCTGAATATGATTTGTTTAAGCCTACTATTTTATACAAAATTTAATAAATATAAATTTTCGTATAAATTTGACACAATTTTATATCAATTTATTCGAGACAGGAACATCAGATAGAACTCTTATGGGTCTCCATCAACTCTTAAAATGCTTGGGTTTCAGCCTATACCCCCTTTCATTTTTCCTCTATAGTCCCTTTAAGGAATTAAAGAAGTTTAGTCGCTGAAGCTAAGCGCTATCCCATCCAAAAGTTTTGCCCTTAGATCCTGTAATTGAATATTGAAACTTTTGAAAAATCTTGTTATCTCAATAATAATATACCATTTACCCTCTAGGATCCCCGGATGAGCCCCCGCCCCCTGAATCTGAAATATTTAAATCTGAGACGTACTCCAACTTTATCTACCTCTACATGAAGATAGGGACCGAGGTTAACGTGTTCTCTCATCTAGGGAAGGTTCTCTTTATGTACATGAAGGAGAGGACAAATCAAGATTTGCATTTTATTCTAGCAATTTGAGTCTTTGTCACAACCATCTGATATTCTAATCCATTTATCTTTCCAACCCAGTAATGTAGACCTTAGATTTTTCAAACTTAAAATTCTATATTTACACCGTCAGGTGGCAAAGATATAGGCATTAGAATATTCGATTTTGAAGCAAAGACTCAGTTCTTTTTACAGATTTTTTGGAAAAACTTTTTCAAACAATAAAAACTTAAACCATTGAATACGGATACTTTAAGAGACCCTTTTAAAAAAGAAGTCATGCTCGATGCACAAGGGTATCCTTCAATGTTCATCTGGGCAAATATTACAAAGATATCATTGTCAATTTCCATTTCTGGTTTTTCTCTAGCAAAGAAACTTTTGAAAGTTTTTTTAAAAAATTATTAGAAAAAAATTATCCCAATTCAATAGTGGTAATCAGATTATGATGTCAAGTGTACTGTTGTGAATCAGATAATAATGTCAAGGGTACTGTTGTGAATCAGATAATGTAATGTTGTGAATCAGATAATGGTGTTAAGGGTACTGTTGTGAATCAGATAATAATGTCAAGGGTACAGGTGTGAATCAGATAATGATGTCAGGGGTACTGTTGTGAATTAGATAAAGGTTTCAAGGGTACAGTTGTGAATCAGATAATAGTGTCAAGGGTACTGTTGTGAATCAGATAATGGTGTCAAGGGTACTGTTGTGAATCAGATAATAATGTCAAGGGTACTGTTGTAAATCAGATAATGGTGTAAAGGGTACTGTTGTGAATCAGATAATAATGTCAAGGGTACTGTTGTGAATCAGATAATGGTGTCAAGGGTACTGTTGTGAATCGAACATACAACTTTTGAATGTAGGGATAAGGAGTTTCTTTAAATTTCTTCGTCATCAATCGATTTACAGATTTTATATAACTTTGAATTAAATAAAAGGATTTCTTCAGAACCTTATACACTACTAACCTTAAAATTATTTAGCTTTTATTTAAAATTATAGATTATCATTTTCCCTTTTACTTTAAAAACGATCTTTTAGGTAAGATTTAACGCTTTAAAAAATGTTTTTAAAAATTTTCTGATTTGTTTTTGAGCTGCAGGAAGCTATGTTCTCTGATGATGATCCAGATAAAGAGGATGAGAGTGAAGAAGAAGAAGAAAAAGAAGAAAAGAATGATCAAACTTGTGCTATGGTGGGTCCAGATCACGGAGTAAGGAATAGAAGGGAGATATAACTGACGCGGTTCACCCTGCCATATGATTATACAAGCTTTGCAGACGGTACTTCATTTATATAAGAAATATTTATTACCGCGTGTACAATAACCTATTTTGAATATTTTTTATACAAATGGAGTACCCGTCTGCAAAGCACACATAATCATATGGTAGGGCGAACCGCGTCAGTTATATCTCCCTTCTATTTCTTCCTCCCTGGTCCAGATAGAAATCCCCCCCCCTCCCCCCAACCTCTTTTGGAAGGAAATGAAAATAAATTTCCGCCTCAAACTAGACATGGAATGAAATCTCTGCCACCAAACTGAAATTTTCTAATATCTACTTCTTTGCAACCTCATTGTGTGAACCTTTGATATTCTAAATTTAGATGTTTGATCTAACAGAATTCACAGTTTGAAATATTTAAGGTATCCGACATTAGGTTGCAAATATATAGGGATTAGAAAATCAGAATTTGTGACAAAAAAAGAAGTCGCAGCTTGGAAAACCAAAGCTCTGATACCTCAGGTTGCAACGATATAAGTATTAAGTATCAGAGTTTGAGGCATGTGTTCAGAGTTACTTTGTAAAAGATTTATTCCTGCTAATACTATTTCTCTCTTTAGGTTGATTCTACCCAAGAGAACGGAACGGAAAACAGCGGAGAAGCTGAACCCAGAACAACAGATCTTGACAACCCCGGAGAAAACGGTACTAATCCTTCTACAACCCTTGAGTCGGAACTAGAAAGATTAAAAGAGAACCTTGCTTTGTGTTTAGAGAATGTGAGAAGTATATCTGAACTAAGGAACGGGAGTGAACAGTCTACAGGTGAGGAGGAGCTGGTTCAAGACTGCAAGGAGACCCTGAACAAGATCTCAACCCTAGCTCCGGAGCTGTTTCCTCAATCTAAACCCGCTGAACCTGAAATGACAACTGTAACATCTATGTATGGAAAAGTTTATAAAGTACGAAAATCCTGACATTTTCAAAATTTTAACGTGTTTTTATTTTATTTTAAAAAGACAAAAAAAATTAGTAAGAGTAAAATATTTTGTTAAACAGCTTATTTGAAAAGAGAGTTATTAGAGAAAAAGGTTATAAAAAGATGATCCTATATACAAAAATCCAAATTCTGTATAAAAGTTACTGTATTATGTATACTTCCAATACCTTTTCAGTACTCTTTTTGTACATTTCGTGTACACTTGTAAATTTAAGTATACTTTATGTGTTCACTTTGCGTACACTTTATGAACAGTTTCTGAGCCCGAAATTTAAAAGAGTATCGTTGAACGAAACTCCCGAGTTTCCTTTTTGGGGTCTTGGCAATTGTGTAGATTTTGATTAAAGAAATTTTAAAAAATTAAGAATATGAAGAAACTTAATAAAATAATATTTCACAACAAAAATATTGATATCCACAAAACTGCCTAACCCCATTCTTGAAACCCGGGTTTCAAAACTGGTTTTCATAACGATACCCTGTCTTAAGTTTTGGGCTCTGTGCACCTTGTGTACATTTTTATGTACAAATTGTTGACACTTTATGTACATTTTTTGTATATCATTGTACACTTTATGTACACTTTATTTCCACTTTCTGTACACTATATGTACAGTGTTTATATTTTGTAAATGTGTATAATGTACGCTGAAGCTGTGTTGACATGTATGATGAAAGTATTTAAATCCTAAAACGGAAATTATAGATTTAGGCGGAACTTTACCTTTGTACTTCCGGTCACATCTATATCAGTTTATATCCCACCTTAGATTGTGTATATCCAACCTTAGATTGTTAATATCCAATATTTATATTAGTTTATATCTAATATTTATATCAGTTTATATCCAACCTTATATTGTTTATATATCCTATATTTATATCAGTTTATATCCCACCTTAGATTGTGTATATCCAACCTTAGATTGTTAATATCCAATATTTATATTAGTTTATATCTAATATTTATATCAGTTTATATCCAACCTTATATTGTTTATATATCCTATATTTATATCAGTTTATATCCCACCTTAGATTGTGTATATCCAATAATTATATAAGTTTATATCCAATATCTATATCAGTTTATATCCAATATTTATAACCGTATATATCCAACCTTATATTGTTTATATCCAATATTATATCAGTTTATATCCGACATTATAGATTGTTTATATTTAATATTTATATCAGTTTATATATAACCTTATATTATTTATATCCAATATTTATATCAGTTTATATCCAACCTTATATTGTTTATATCCAATATTAATATCAGTTTATATCCAACCTTATATCGTTTATATCCAATATTATATCAGTTTATATCCAACCTTATATTGTTTATATCTAATATTTATATCAGTTTATATCCAACCTTATACTGTTTATATCCAATATTTATATCATTATATATCAAAACAATTAGATTGTTTATATCCAATATTTATATCAGTTTATATCCAACCTTAGATTGTTTATATCCAATATTTATATTAGTTTATATCCAACCTTAGATTGTTTATATCCAATATTTATATTAGTTTATATCCGATATTTACGTCAGTTTATATCCAACATTATAACAGTTTATATCCAATATTTTATCAGTTTATATCCAATATTATATCAGTTTATATCCAATATTTTATCAGTTTATATCCAATATTATATCAGTTTATTATCCAACCTTATATTGTCTATTTCCAATATTTATATCAGTTTATATCGAACCTTAAATTGTTTATATCCAATATTTATACTGGTTTATATCCAATAATATCAATATGTATCTAACCTTAAATTGTTTATATCCAATATTCATATCAGTTTATATCAAACCATATATTGTTCATATCCAATATTATATCAGTGTATATCCAATATTTATATTATTTTGTGTCCAATATATATATCAGTGTATAATGTATATCCAATATTTATTTTAGTTTATATACAATATCTATATAAGTGTATATCCAAAAGTTTCATCAGTTAGATCTACAATATCTATGTCAGTTCATATCCATTATTTATAACAGCTCTTTACAACACCTTTATATTAATGTCTTTATCCCATATTTATATCAATTTATATCCAATAAGTAAATTAGTTTGTATAAAAATCTAGATTTATATTTCCAAAATAATGATTCAGAATTAAATCCAACGTTGAAGAGAATGGCTAAAACCTTTCTAGGAATTTAGATAATTCGCTAGATTAACAAAACCACTTTCCAACCACACTAACTATACTGTTAATTTTAAACCTTTTTATGTATTCACAAGGTAAACTCTTTTTTCTAGATTTCTCATATTTTTCAACTCCATCCCTACTTTAACTCCATTTACTACAAGGTTCTACAAACTTCATTATCTATTAATAAAACTCTATTATCTATGTAAATCTACGTTTTCTTGTTCTTACAGGGCATCATATTTAAATTCCCCTCTTGGGTTACTTTTCATTGAATTATTATAATCATATTGTTAAGGAGGTTTGAGGTGAAACCTCCATTAAATTTTTTTAATAATTTTGTCTTGGGGTTTCCAAAATGTGGTCTGTCATTTTAAACCCTTAAAACTAATAATATCTAGTATCTACATCAATTTTCTACCACAAAAGTAAATCAAAGCTTGGACATTGGACAAAACTAGAAACGTTCAACAATTTGTTTTATACACACACTTCTGGTAGTCATTAACTATTGGAAATCAAGGACGATTTTTAAGCAAAGAGAATAGAATATATATTAGAGGGGAATTTAGATAATCCCTCGGTATGAATTTTTTCAGTCCCTTTCAGCCTGAAAGGGAGTTCAAAGTCTACAAATCATGTAAATGTTCACAAATTATATGCAGCAGAGTACATTAATACAGTGTGTTCCCTAGACTATCCATTTCAATTTCGAATTTTTAAAGCTGTTAAATAAACTTTTTTAAATGAATTAGGTGAAAAAAACATCATTTGATTTAAAGTTTTAACGAAAAATCATCGTTTGTAAAGTGAAAGGCATAGAGTCTTTGTGAAATGATCATTGGTCAATTATGAAACCAGCCTATTTCATAATTTGGTTTTTTTTAATATTAATTTTAGATTTTCTATAAAATGATGTTCCAGGGCCCAAAAGGTTATATAGCGCAAATATGTGAAGTACAATGGAAACAGTACAACAAAATGGCCGTTTTACACTTTTTTCTGGTTAATTCCCCTCTAATATATATTCTATGCTCATTGTTTTTAAGTCGTCCTCTAATTGTCACGTGACCCTCCCTGCACCTTATTAATCTAAATCTGACCTGGTCAGACCGTGAGACAGAGAGAACAATTGAGCAGTTTGATAAACAAATGGATCAGTACTGCAAACTTTATTTCGGTAAACAAATCAAAGTTTAATATTGCCTTCAGAGGTAATCCCCCTCAAAGAGACTATATCATTTACAATGGTAACCGATAAAATGTAAAATCTGTTGATAAATGAACAAGATATTCTTATTTTTCTCTTTAAAAGTGACTTTTGGATTTAACCGGCAGAGACAATACAAATAGCAAAGCTTTTTAGATTAAAAAATGACGATTAAAGGTTTAAAGGGTGAATCGAACACACCACTCTATAAATAAAGGGTCCCTAAAAATTATGAGTATTTTATCTAAAATTTTAATTTTTAATTTTAAATTATCAAGATTTAACCATATTTCACTTATTGAAGAGCTATTGTGAAGAATGTTGTGAATTTCTAGTACAGGGTTTTCTTTGAAACATGACAGTTTGTGAATAGTTTTCTTCCTGTTGTAATCTGGAACGGATTAGAATTTACGTATATATATATATATATAGATATATATATATAGAACATGCGGCCAGCGCTCTATATAATGAATCAAAGCAAAAGGGAACGGCAGTGCACAAAGAACCTTACTAGTAGAAAGAATTATAATACTAATATAATCTTCTACCTTAGGTCAAGTGCAGCTCACAACTCTAACCTATCCATAACTCAGACTATTAACATAACATTAACATAACATAGCCTGATAAACATATTCAACTCTGAATAGCTAGTTATAGATATCTATCTTAGCATAGATAGGCAAGGATATATAATCCTACATAGCTAAATACAATATATAGCTCCGCAAAGAAATATCTAGCTCTACATCAACGGACTAGAATATATAGTTCTACATAGCTAAATACCATACATAGCTCTTCAATGCTAGATGAGATAAATAGCTCCGTAAAGCTAAGCATGATAAATAGCGCTGTAAAGCTAAGCAGGATAAATAGCTCCATAAAGCTAAGCCGGCTCCTTGGCCCTGCAAAGCTAAATAAGACAAATAGCTTTGTAAAGCTATTTGTATAAAGATGATCCTTAGCTCCGCAAAGCAAAATTAAATAGTTTTATATAATTAAGCAAGAAAAATAGCTTAGTAAAGCTACTTATAAAAGATAACTGATTCTAGATTGTTGAAAAATATATCAATAGCTAAGTAACTAAAATACCATAAAAGTTGCTAAAGCTTTATTATAAATAACGACGGATTAGAGTTTGTGGCATTGTTTATCTCTGATCTCAAGTAAGATAATCAATGCACGCTAGATAAAGTTAATAGCTCCGCAAAGCTAAATAAGATAGCTCTATAACGCTAAGCAAGACCACTAGCTTAGTAAAGCTATATACAAAGATAAATAATTCTTGATTGATTATAAGTATATTAATAGCTAAGTAATTAACAATACCGCAAAGGGTTACTAAAGGCTATAATGGAGATTACGACCACCCTACCCCCAGGGGGTGGTGACCATGAAGACCATGGGGCTGTAGTTCGGGTCCTGCCTGCTGTTGATGTGTCTGAGAGACCTGTAGATGAAGGAGGGAATGATCTTGATGAAGGAGAGACGGAGAAAGGTAAACCCCAGAAGTGGGATTACAGAGGAGACCCGGATGATGTCCCTGGCCTCGAGGATGAAGAGAATGAGGCTCCACCAGGGTTGGGGGCAGATGAATCCTCATCAATTGAAAATGAAGGAGCCTTAGAGCAGATACAGTATCCACTGAGGGATCTAGGGAAGATCATGGAACAGTTAGGGAACCTAAGGAAGTACCAGGCCGCCTCTTCAGCATAGTTAGTGTTCCGCTGGAGTACAGAAGGTGGAGCTTGGAACCGAATATCAATCTCCTAAATATAAATATACAATTATTACAATTATTAAATTAATAAATATGAACTAAGAGGGTTAATTATTCCGTTTAAATTCTACTGTAGACCGAATCAAACTCGGGGTTTACAACATTCCATAATAAGTTTTGATTTCAAAGTAAAATAAATTGGAGGAAAAGATGTTTTTTTTAACGAAATAAACTGCAAAAAATCTTTAATATCCAATACAATATATAGAAGTAGACATTCAAAACTATTTACCAACTGTCATGTTTCGTGGGACACCCTGTATCTAAACAATTTACCAACTGTCATGTTTCGTGGGACATCCTGTATCTAAACTATTTACCAACTGTCATGTTTCGTGGGACACTCTGTATCTAAACAATTTACCAAACTGTCATGTTTCGTGGGACACCCTGTATCTAAACAATTTACCAACTGTTATGTTTCGTGGGACACCCTGTATCTAAACTATTTACCAACTGTCATGTTTCGTCGGACACCCTGTATCTAAACTATTTACCAACTGTCATTTTTCGTGGGACACCCTGTATCTAAACTATTTACCAACTGTCATGTTTCGTGGGACACCCTGTATCTAAACTATTTACCAACTGTCATGTTTCGCGGGACACCCTGTATCTAAACTATTTTCCAACTGTCATGTTTCGTGGGACACCCTGTATCTGAACTATTCACCAACTGTCATGTTTCGTGGGACACCCCGTATGTAATCAGATAAATTTGCTATTTTCATACTTGTCAGTAAGATCAAAACCAGAGGATCTACGAGGTTACAAAGTTGTACCAATAATATCACATAAATTTAACTTTCTCCTTGTGTTTTAGTTTTCAGTGGATAAATTACATAATATAGTAGTCGGCGTTTAAATCTAAACGATGAAGACGAATTTTTTATTTAAGTTTTGATTTTTAACAAACTTTCTTCAAAGAGAAACATCTCTCCTTGTTGACATGTTTGTGTTTTTCCATGCTGTATAACCCTATCCCAGCTGGGGCACTTGAAAAACAGGATACGTGGAGGGGGGGGGGGGTAAATTTTACCACCCCCCCCCTTAAATTTTCATGTTTGATGTCCAAATATGACAAATGATACACCATTAGAACGCTCTTGTGCTCAACTTTTAGAATCTTCCAAACAATCGGACATTTGCAAAAATCTAAATTTTTCTTTGAAAAATCCCGTTATATAATAAAAATGTTTGCAAGAAAAACCCAAAAATGATAAAATATACGTTTTTGAAAAGCCCTTGGCCAAGCCATTTCGAATATGCAAATTTTGCAAAATTTTAAATAACCTGATTTAAAAAAAAAAACTAAAAATGTGCAAATTTCTTTTGACGGGTTTTATGCAAACAAAAATGGCAAAATTTTCTTTGTAAAACTTGTGCAATTTATTTCCTTATGTTATAGCCTGGTTTTCCAAGAAGCTAAAAATTATCAAAATCTCAAATTTGACGACAAATAAAAGTGGGTCAAAACAAAGATTTAATTTGTTACAGGAAAAAGTAGTCATTCAGGCAGTGCGCCTGAGGACTCCGGCAGTTGGTATAAAAGCCCGGTTTTAGACTTAAAGGGAGCGCTATGGGTATTAAGGAAAAGTCAGAAAATTTTAACAGCCTCAGACCAATACTTGTTGAGTTTTGTAATAAAACTACTCCCAGCAGGAATGGTGTTAAAAGCTTGGTAAAAATCAAAATTCAAACAGAAAGTTTTCTTCATTGTATTGATAAATACGCCGACGACTGTACTGATCTTAACCTAGGAAATTCAGCTTGTGAACTATTTGAGATTAATATTGCTGAACCTACACAGCACTTAGAACCAGAGATACGGTAACGCAATATATATCATTAGAATTTTAAACTTATCAAATAGTTGAGTCGACGCTATAGACCTGGGAAGCTCTCTAATCTCTATTAACGGTAATATAGCCGTTAATTCTTAATGCCTAACAATATTTTAGTAGGGTTGGGATGAGTCTATAAATTAACGGATTTCATGGTTTACAGAAAATTGCCCAGGCCTAGTCTTCGCAACAAACTCAGATGTTCGAGTACCTATATTTTTGGCAATCTGATGATATGATAAAAACCTTTGATACTTCAAACTTAGATTATTCTAACATAAAGATATAGGGATTAGAAAATCGAACAGAATGATTGTCGTCTCGATCTTTCTTTAATTTCACATTTTGCTTCTGTTATATCACTGTGAAGGCTCGATTAAAATTTAAACATTTAGAACAAAGACAACAACTCTATAGGGAAGTATACCGTAATATAAAGAAGCATACTGTGTAGGATGGGAAAAGAGGAATTGAGGAAGTATTGGAATATAATGAAGTATACTGTATAGAGTGGGATATGAGGAAGAGGAAGTATACCGTAATATAAAGAAGTATACTGTGTAGGGTGGGAAAGAAGGAGGATGAAGTTTACTGGAACACAGGGGAAAGTGAGTCCATCTGCCTAGGTAAAAGAAAAAGAAAAAGAAATAATTTCTTTGATCCCCATTCCAATACGATTATATTGATGGTCGTCTTCTTTAAAAGAAACAAAAAACCTTTGATTAATACAGGGTTAGCCACAAGGAATTATACTGCAATGTCGACCTAGAACTCTTTCAATATGATGATGGCAGAATTAAATTAAGTCTTTTGTCCTAAACATTTTCTTTAAATGGCTTATTTATCGATTTGACAAATAACAAAACAAGTTTAAAGTTGCAAGGAAGCATAATTATACGGAAACATACACTATATAGATTCTTTACAGATGTCTCTGAAGTCTTGTCCTTTTGTGGCTAACCCTGCAGTATAATATTCCTTCCTGAATAATACGAATATATAAATCTTAAATTTTTAATAACTAGAAATTCAAGGCGCTTCGCGCCCTTCTTTCTAGCCTTAGAGGGCGCTTCGCGCCCATATCCTAAATTAATTGTGAACATGTTCTCTTTGTGTACATCGTAAAACAAAACAAAAATAATTCGCAGGTTTTGCGCAAATTGCGCAAAATAAATAGCGCAAAACCGCGCAAAACTCATTGCGTTTCATGCGCAAAAATAGCGCAAAAGTTCGCAAAAATAAAATTTGCGCGAAAATAGCGCAAATTTTGCGCAAAAGATTTAGCCATTTCGTGGAAACCCTATAGTAAAGAAACCACTTAAAAACTTTACAAAACAAAACATTTTTGCGCGTACTGTATTCGACGGTACTATACTGTCGACTGTACTGTTACAGTTACACTGTATATAGTCAAAAGTAAAACTCCTTTCATAGCAATAGAAAAGAAGTTGGGGTTAAAAACTTTTAGACTTCTGTTAAATTAGTTTAATTTGTTCTTGCCGTTCATTCTATCTTAATTCATTGAACTAATTTAAAATAGATTCTTTACATTTCATGATTACATACGGTGCAAGGTAGGCAATTATATCAACACAATGAAGACGACTTTCGACTTCAATTTTGATTTATTTTCAAGATTTTACAGAGAATAGATACACAAAATTGGAAACAAAGAGAATCTGACAATTAAAAAGCTTCTCTTTAATTACTTGTAAACTTGTAATTCGAAAAAAAGCTTGTTAACAATTAAAACTTTTATAAGAAAAAGTCGTCTTCATTGTATTGGTATTATCGCCTGCCATCCTAGATGATATTAATGTAATTTATTATTCCCTGCTACTTTAAACTTCTTTGTTTCTTTCGTTTTTTAGTCATTATATACGCATTTAGAAGACTGTATTCAAGACAAAAGATTTAACACAACATAAAAGATCTTTACAGACTTATTCCTTGTGAGAAACTGTTCATTTTTATCTTAGAACCCCCTTGAACAATTGGCCTCAAATTTAGTTTAGTTTCCAAGCAAAGCTGGGTGCCCAAGCTATAGTTAAAGAATGTGTTAACGAATTATTAAATGTTGCTTCTGAAAAGTTGAGTCAATGTTCATACTGCGTACAATTTCTTTTTTGATTTATACTCGAATAATGCGTTTTCTTAGTTGATTTATACCCGAATAATGCGTACAATATCTTAGTTGATTTATACTCGAATAATGCGTACAATTTCTTAGTTGAGTTAATACTCGAATAATGCGTACAATTTCTTATCCCAGCTTTCTCTTTATGCCCACAAACTTTCTACTTTCCCCGCAGATCAATATTTCTAGCTCTCAGCTGTAGTATACTGTTATACAGGAATAAAAAACAAACTAGTTTCACATTCTCTTCTCCTTGCTCTCATACTCATTCAATTCAAAGCTCAGCTTTTTGTATCTTCGTTACCGTATCTTTGAAAGGAATTGAGTATTTGCTACAAACTCTGATTTTTCAATCCCAATATCTTAGCAACCTAATGCAAATATATTTCAAACAAAATTCTGATCAAATAATTTAAGTTTGAAATATCAAAGGTTTCCACCATCCGGTTGCAAAGACTAAATTATTTTGAAAACGAAATTGCATACTTTACATATACTGTTAGAAAAAATCGTAATCTTAATCAAAATTCGATATTGCGAATGAAAAGTTCGACTTTCTTTAAACAGTGTAATGTTTAAAAGGCAATAAGCCATTAACTAAATTACCATACACTTGAATTACTTGTCAATGTTAATTCTTTAAATAAGTATTAAGAATGAAAAAGAACTCTTTCTTGGTAAATTTGTGTTAAAAAAGTAAAAATACCAAGTTTTACAGATTTGAACTGGTTCAGGATTGAAGAAAAACCAGCTCAGAGCTACGGAGGGAACTGTTGAGGAAGAGAGGGAAGAGAGGGTAGAGAGGGACGGGAGCGAGGGGGAGGAGGAGGAGGGGGAGGGGTTTGAAAGGGAGCGAAGTGAGGTGTACGTGAGGGTTGAAGAGTACAATAAGTTTATGAATAAGAAGCATAACATGGATACAGATTACAGGTAGGACATTTTATTCTCTTAAATGGACTGTAAGCGTGATTTTAAGATAAGCAGAGATGTCGATTCCTGATTTACAATGGTGTTCTCAAAACCTTTGTCTGATCAAGTATGAATTAGATATCCATGATTTTGTTTACTTAAACTGTTTATTTTCATTTGTGGTTTCTCTGCAAAAGTGACTCAGCATTTCTTGCGTATAAGAAACAATGGATAAACTCACAGAAATAAACATTTTTTAAGTCAGAAAAACGACTTTATTTTTCACAATTTTGACCGTTTCACGTGCACCGATGTCAAACTCGCATTGCCATCTGTGCACAGATGCTCTCTTGAAATCCCGTTAATAATAATAACTCTCATTTTCTAATCTTTAAATTTTTGCAACACGATGTTGTTTAGAATATGGATCCTACTAGATCAAACCGTTTAAGTTTAAAATATCAAAGGTTACATTAGGTTACAAAGATTATAAGATTAGAGTTTGACGCCTGTGTTCTATTGCATCCAAGAAAATCTGCCATAAATTGAATTGAGAGAAAAAGTTTTTATAAAATAAAACTATTTTAGCGTTTCTAGTTTTCAAAAATATTCTTAAAAATCCGAAAAAATAATAATAATAATAATCATATTTTTATTTTTATTTTTAGAGAATATTTCCGGGACCGGCCCCGAGGCGAGTTTTTGACAAGAGGAGCAGCCATGTCTTCACAGAGCAGTGGGAGGGGGAGTCAAGAATATAATAGGTTAGTTCAAGTTAGTTCAAGCCAGTTCAAGTCAGTTCATGTCAGTTCAAGTCAGGAGTATAAAAGGTTAGTTCAAGTCAGTTCATGTTAGTTCAAGTGAGTTCAAGCCAGTTCAAGTCAGAAGTATAATAGGTTAGTTCAAGTCAGTTCAAGTCAGTTCAAGTCTGTTCAAGTCAGGAGTATAATAGGTTAGTTCAAGTCAGTTCGAGTTAGTTCAAGTCAGTTCAAGTCAGTTCAAGCCAGTTCAAGTCAGGAGTATAATAGGTTAGTTAAAGTCAGTTCAAGTTAGTTCAAGTCACTGCAAGTCAGTTTAAGTTGCAGTAGTATAATAGGTTAGTTCAACCCAGCCTAAGTCAGGAGTGTAATAGGTTAGTTCAAGTCAGTTCATATCAGTAGTATATAATAGGCTAATTCAAGTCAGGAGTATAATAGGTTAGTTCAAGTCAGGAGTAAAATAGGTTAGTTCAAGTCAGGAGTAAAATAGGTTGGTTCAAGTCTGGAGTAAAATAGGTTAATTAAAGTCAGGAGTAAAATAGGTTAGTTCAAGTCAGGAGTAAAATAGGTTAGTTCAAGTCAGGAGTAAAATAGGTTAGTTCAAGTCAGGAGTAAAATAGGTTGGTTCAAATCTGGAGTAAAATAGGTTAGTTCAAGTCAGGAGTATAATAGGTTAGTTCAAGTCAGGAGTATAATAGGTTAGTTCAAGTCAGGAGTATTATAAGTTAGTTCAAGTCAGGAGTATAATAGGTTAGTTCAAGTCAGGGGTTTAATAGGTTAAATTTGTAATCCAAGTTTTCTGAACCACAGGCTTGGACAGGAGGAAATCTATTATATTTTACTCCAGATTTCTCGGACCACAGGCTAGGATAGGACGAAATCTATAATTATATTTTACTCCAGGTTTCCCGGACCACACGCGCTAGGATAGGACGAAATCTATTATATTTTACTTAAGGTTTCCCGGACCAATGGCTAGGATAGGACGAAATATTTTATATTTTACTCCAGATTTCTCGGATTACAGGCTAGGATAGGACGAAATCTATTATATTTTACTCCAGGTTTCCCGGACCACAGGCTAGGATAGGACTAAATCTATTATATTTTACTCCAGGTTTCCCGGACCACAGGCTAGGATAGGACGAACTCTATAATTATATTTTACTCCAGGTTTCCCGGACCACAAGCTAGGATAGGACGAAATCTATTATATTTTACTCCAGGTTTCCCGGACCACAGACTAGGATAGGACGAAATATTTTATATTTTACTCCCGGTTTCCTGAACCAGAGGCTAGGGTAGGACGAAATCTAAAATTATATTTTACTCCAGGTTTCCCGGAGCACAGGCTAGGATAGGACGAAATCTATTCTATTTTACTCCAGGTTTCCCGGACCACAGGCTAGGATAGGACGAAATATTTTATATTTTACTCCAGGTTTCCCGGACCACAGGCTAGGATAGGACGAAATCTATTATATTTTACTCCAGGTTTCCCGGACCACAGGCTAGGATAGGACGAAATCTCTCTAGTGATAAATTAGTGCAGGAAAGAAGAACTCCAACTATACTGAGAAAAAGTAAGTGAAAATCTTAAAAGAAGAAAAAACTCCGAAATATTTTTCTTCTCTTTTCTATCACAGAAAATTAACAAATTGAGTAAAAAAAATTTACATAACTCATGTTTTTGTCTTTTTTATAATTGATATTCAGATCTTATCGGCGTTATGACGTTTTCTGGAATGATATATTTTGGACGAAAAATTTTACACTTTAGATTGGAATTTTCGAAATGTTTCAATTTTTTTATGAGTCTGGATGTGCTCCAACCAATACTTTAATAGCAATGGACACAACAATACCTCGAATGACGTCACTGCTAATTTTAAAGAATAATAAATTTCGCGACTCACTAAATATAAACGAACTCAAAAATTGAAAACTTGAATTAAAATTGCATTTTTTAGCTTCTCAAGCTTGTTAGCACAATCAATAGTTGTTAAATGTGATGATTTATAATTAATTATCAGTGACGTCATATAATAGATATCGTGTTCATTGCTGTAAAAATCGTCCCTGCCAACAATGGAGTGCATCCATAACATCTTAACCTTACATGGAACCTTGGTTTAAACGGACATATTTGCAGAGCTTGATGTCTGTGTGTATCTAATGTCCAATGTTGGAGTCCAGATGGAAATAGAGGAGGGGGCTAACTCAACCGTTACAGATATCATAAACAGCCTTCATGGAGAGGAGGAACTAGGACTCCCTAGAGCAGGAGGAGTACAGGTAGTTCAGTTTATCCGTAGATCAGTACATTAGTAGATCAGTTGATTAGTTGATGGATAGATTAGCAGATCAGTATATTAGCAAATTAGTTGATCAGTAGATCAAATGATAAGTTCTATATTTCTATGTATAGAATATACCAAACTAACTTTATACCATACATACTAGCTCTATGTATATATAGGATATATTAGCTCTATGGATGGTTTCTCCTCTACTTGAAGTACAATTAAAACCTCATCATAAACCCTTTTTTATCCGGCGTGAATGGAATCATTTCCTCCAAAGGTTCAGCTCCGCAACCCAGGATAAGAAGGTAAACATTCGTTTCCATTCTGGTAATCCTCAATCATCTAAAGTTTGTAAACTCTCACTAAAAACAAAAGCTAAACCTTTCTAAAATGTGTTCTGGGCTGTAGAAAAGTATGAGTGAGTTAGTAAAAGAAAACTAAATTCCAAGGCGCTGTGACACTCTAATGTCGACCCAGTTTTACAATTGTGTACTTTGTCATTCTTTCTCACTTCATCCTGAATCTCATAATGAACGTGCTAAAAAGTAATCATCGTGCTATAAAACTTTTCAAATCGGTCTGGGTCTATGTGGATCTTTTATGAAACTGTTGTGTACTTTATCATTCTTCCTCACTTAATCGTGAATTTCATAATGCACTTGCTATAAAGTAATCATCGTGCTATAAAGTTTTGATTGGTTCCCGGATTTATTTCCTAAAAAAATAGGATATTTGTTTTCAATTGAAATGAAAATAAATTGAAATTACCTTTATATTTTGACTTCTGCTTTGTTTCAAAGCTTATTTGATCTAGAAATAATCATTGAAATAAGACAAGTACACAAACGTTTCATAAAATTACCTTAACGCTATTTTTTGTTTTTGAACTTAAATTTTCTCTTTATTTCGAAGATTCAAGTCTTATATTTTATTATACTTTGTCCCTCGCTAAAGCTCGGGAGAAAATTAAATCTAAAAAGACTTGAACCTTCTCCATAAAGAGAAAATTTCTGTTCAAAAACTTAATAACACTGCGAACCAAAATAACAGTGTTATAAATAGTTATTACAGTCTTTTAGAAACTCATATTGATAACGTAAACTGAGTTTGTTAGGCCTGTGTTTGCATATAAAATTGGGATCTTAAGATTAAACATAATTCTAAATGTGCGTTCAAATAAAGACAAAGTAGTTCAGTTATTTAGAATCTAATGTGGAACATGTTTTTAGCTTTTTCATCTTTATTGATTAATCTGCAATTTTTTCTGGTATAAAAATAAGTTTCTTAGGCTTGTGATGAACCAGTTTTATCATTACAACGAAATGTGTTCACTACCCGTAGGGATGAAATCCAGGTATAGGATCATATTATTGACTTCTGAATTTATATACCACCCTCTCCTCCTTTCGCTAAAACCTTTACAAAATATAAATCATTCTGGGGTTATCATAGAATCTGTAAAGTAATGCAGGGTTCTTATTTCTTGGCTTGATTTTAACTAAAGAAATTTTGGTATTTTGGTTTGTATTTGATTTAACATTAAAAAAATAAATTAAATTAAAAAATTTGTTTTTTTTTCTTCTAACAAATGTTGTATATTTTCAGGTGAAAGATCAGAAGATTCTGGAGCTTCTGTTCGAGGAAGCAAAGGAAGGGTTTAAATAATTCTTCATTAAAATGTTCAAATATATTCGCGAAGAATTTTGTTCAGGGTTCACTTTAAACCTAGCTCTTAAAATCCATTGTGCTTTCTATCACTCATTCTCAGTTCAAGCTTGATTTCATTATAACATTGCTACGAAGTAATCATCGCAATAATGTTGAATTTATTAGCTATTAAGGTTTAGGACTAAAATTTTCATTGTATCTCGAAGTTTCTCGGTCTAGATTGGATCTTCAGAGCTTATAGCTTGAACCTTCTCGATAAAGAGACAATTTCTGTCCAAAAACTCCTATCGAGCACTGCGAACAAAATTGTAAAAATAGTCATTCTAGTATTAACCAAAAGGAATTGAGTCTTTGTCACAAACTCTGATTTTCTAATCCCTATATATTTGCAACCCAATGTCGTAGACATCAGATATTTCAAACTATAAATTATTTTAGATCAAATAATTTAAGCTTGAAAAATCAAAATTTCACATCACAAAGATAAGACGATAAGAAAATTTAAGTTTGAGGCAAAGACTCAATTCCTTTATACAATAATAAAACATTAAAAANCCCCCAGTTTAAGGTTGCTGATATTTTCCCTACTAATCAGTACAATATCCTGACTGGACGATATCCTTGTGAGGTGTCAGATTATATAATGTTAGGAGGTATCCAGGCTAGATTAGAGCTGGGACCGTACGATATATCCACTCATACTCCATCATTTATCAGGTACACTTATGTACATACAGGGTGTCCCACATCAAATTAGACCGCGTCAATGGGTCTAATTTACGATTTGGAGGACAAATCAGAAAATTTAAGAAGAATAAATCATTATGAAAAATGTAATAAGGATAAAAGAAAATTTTATTTTGCAGAAAATGCTAGATTTGTCGAGTATTATGTGCGTATTTTGGCGCTAAAGATTTAAGATAACCTAATATGAAATGGGACGCCCTGTACTATAATATGTCATGTGCATAGTATAATGTATTGTCCAAGGTGTTCCATGAGACTTTCACTCTTAAAGGGACTGTAAGCGTGATTTCAAGTGACCATTCATGCAAATATGAACGATACGTTTGAAACCATCATCTCATCAATAATTTGGAAAATACTGTAGTTTGTCTAGTTGGAAAAGTGTTCGAATATCATGTTTTCCTGAAATAGAAATGCGCAAAAGTCACTTTTGGAGAGATACCACAATTGAAAAAAAACAGTTTTCTAGATTAAAAACATGGAAATTTAATTCATTCCTGACCAGACAAAGCTTTTACAGGTTCCGTTGTGAATCTTTGCATGTTAGGTCACTTGAAAAAACCGCTTACATTCCCTTTAATTACCAATTATATTGGATATAATCACTACTTTCGTGTATTATATTGGTCACCCTGGTACAATTATATGAACCGAGGTTATAATGCAGGGAAAGTTATTTCAAAGGTGTACGCATCTTTTGTACGGCAGTGTACTGTCTCAGGGCGGTAATATAAACACAAGACGGATGTCACAGCCTGACAGGGGATCCATCTTTCACATGAAAAAATCAATATTCTGGTCTTAGGAAACTATTATGCGAATTATCAAAATTTTCAAAATTAAATGCTTTTATCCTCCTCGGATACTAAACGAACACATTAATGCATCTATTCTTGTTTACAAATTCTACCCAGAGAGAACTGGTTTCAATATGTACGCAGAGTATACGCAACTGCAATTAACTTTCCTTGCATTATAACCTTGATATGATCCATTGTTTTACGTATGTTCCTGTATCTAGACAGAACCTGGAGAGGTTTCTTCCTGAGCACGCAGTTAGGAGCAGTGGAGGTATATTCTCCTGGTTCCCTTGGTCTCCCTCTAGTAAAACATCTCCAGAAGCCAGGCTTATAGAACAATTTAAGGTAAGGCAGAGGGAGGGGGTAGAGGATAGGGGTTGAAGGGGG